ACAAGGGCCGAACCGGGTGAAGTTGTTTACAAGTAGTACAGGTATTTTGAGATAATGCTCGGTGGGTCCAAGTGCTACAAAACAAAAGAGTGAACGTCTCAGTTTATCTTTAAAAATAGGCCCCTACTGCCTACCTGCTGGCCTTTAACCAGTAGTACTACATACATTCCTACAGATGGTCCTATAGACAGTAGACAGTTCTACTGCCCGCCTGCCGGCCTTTAAAGGGTAGTTCTGCAGACAGTCCTAAATCATATCCGTGGCCCTTTGTTGATTTGATTAATATAATAGCTGCTGGCCCCAAAAAAAAAAGTGAAACCCTTTTTTTTAACCGGAGAGTAAAAAAGAAGCAGGGTGAACAAGAAAAAAAAAAAAAAAAAAAAAATATGTAGACGCTATCATTGTGGGTGCTCCGACTCAACCTATATTCAGTAGGACAACAAGCGTGGGAAAAGCAGTGACCTAAATAACCATTGACATCTGAATTCTTATGGGTGGATAGTGTTTGTAAAAGCCACTAAATTTCATTAATTCATGCAAACTATTTCTACTTGGTTTTTTTTTCGCTAATTAAATGCTTACTACATGATGTAAATACGTGCATAGTTTATTTTAAATTATAAATACCAGCAGATCTGGCGACGTGGATTGAGCGTATGGTGCCCTCCAGCACTTGTATGCCTACCATCTGGGTACACCTAATGATTTCATTGTAACGTTTCTATTTTCCATCATTTTCATCACATGGTACAGGCGTCAGGGTCGCCGCCTCCTGACCGTCTCAGGTTGTCAAGTTGTTGGTTTTTTTCTCTACCATTGGTTTAAATCAAGTTGTACTTATTTTTATTGTTTTTATTGTTCATCATTGGCAATCGAAGTTGACCAAGGTTTCGACTTGATCAGTAGCCTTGGGGGGGGGGGGGCGCGGGGGGGGGGGGGGGGGGGGGGTGGGGGGGAGGTCTGCTCAATTCGTGAGCCTTCCTCTCTCGTCCTCGCCTATTTGTTTCAATGGCAAGACTTAGTCAAGACGACTGGAAATAGACCAGGATGCAGTTTCAGAGTCGGCCTTCTCTTAGACGAGATGCCATCCATGGGTACCGAGTCGCACACGCTTAGGGTTGTCTCAGTTTAAATCACTCGGCCACCCAGAACCCCTCAAGTGGTAATAACATAAACACAAATCTACATAATCCTTTTAGGAAAAGACATTGACATCCTGCTTTGATGACACCGGCAATGACATAAACTATGTACAACACCGTTACAAAACCCCCTTAACAATCACCTTCTTACACCACCCAGTTACACCACCCCGTTACACCACCCTTTTGCAAAAACCACTTACACCACCCCTTACACAACCCCCTTACACATCTCTCTTATACCCAATATACCTTCCCCTTACACAACCTACATACACAACCCCCTTACACAACCCCCTTACACAACCCCCTTACACAACACCCTAACGCAACCGCCATGCACCATGCTGGATCAAACATGGGTTTAGACTTTTACGACATCTTCAATTATTTATTGAAGCATGCTCAAGTCTACGATCTAGCAAAAAGAAAGGCACACAGCGAAAGTCCCTAATCCCTTCTAAGCCACTGTTAAAAGATGTCATTAGATTATCATATTTTTTAAAAATGATTTTAGGAAATGCAGTTCTACCCCCCCCCCAACCCCCCCCCCGACTAAACAGGATTCCCTTTTTAAAGAAAGACGACTGCGATTGTAGAAATTCATTTTTTTTTTTTTTTAATTTATCAGTCGGATTAAAATTTGAAAGAGATTGAAGAAATATCCGTATATTATACGCAAAGTTACATATTTTCCATTAGTTAACATCGCATAACTATCTCTTATATATAGTACGCTTCTGGTGTGACCCGTGGACTGCTTCCTAAAGGACATCTTCTTAATAAACTGCTGCCTAATCAGGAAATGCGGTACTGAGAGGAAATTACAAATAATTCTAAGTGTTTGAAAGCAAGTATGGTGCAATAGTGTGTTCCATAGGGCGCAAAAAAAGAAATCGTCTCAATTGAAACATGGTGTTAAAAAATATTCGATTTAAAAGTTGTTGGGAAATCAGAATATTAATGGAGTTCATGGGCGTGACATAAAAAGTGTGCAGTGACGTATCATGGTGGGAAGAGGTGTAGCAAAACATTGTGATTCTTAAATGTGCGTTACTTGAGATCATGTTTTGTAAAGTAACTTTAGCAGATGGGAAATTCATGCATTGCTGTCGCCAATGTTTGGCTGGCTATATATAGTAATATTATGCATCGCCATAGCGTCCACGAGTGTGTAAATGTCTCAGTTACAAATAATGTATAGAAGAAAGGATCAAATTCTTAGAAACAGGCTAATGACACCGAAGCTGACACCAGATATTCTTGGCTTACTTTTCTTTCTTAGCTCTTTAAGAAATGGATCTTAGAATTTATTCGATGCCTGTCTCAAGCCGGGGTGTGGGGGTGGGGGGGGGTTTGGGATTTGGGGGGGGGAGGGCAGCGTTTAGCTTACGGTCCACTTTATCGCCCAACGATATATAAATATCAAAATACTGATGCGTCACTATAAATAATGACATGGTAGAACAAGGTGTGCGGAAGCTCGAATCAAAAGACAGGACAATGGGATGCGAACGTTTCGGCTCATAGACCATCCTCCGCAAACTCACAGCTTGAACGCAATCCTTTCATTTATTGTACAATATAAATAAAGCGCCAACTTAAAAGAGCGGAAATGACAGCAGAACCCATGCATTTATTTAAGGAAAAAGTAGAACAAGGTGTGTGGAAGCTTGAATTGAAATAGAAAGACAGGGCAGCAAAAAAAAAAATAAAGTTTCGGCTAAGAGCCTTCCTCGGCAAATAGGACACGTGAAACAAAACAACAACAACAAAATAACAAAAAATAGAAAGTAGTTAAAAGACTTAGGGGTCGCCATTGATGTTATTGCTGGAACTTAAAGATTACGAGTACTTTGTTGTTATATTTCAAGATTCCACCTTGAAATAGAAGAAAAATTTACGTGTAATCTTGAAATGAAAGAGCAAGGAACTTGGAAGCTTAAAATAGAACAAGTGCGTAGAAACGTGAAATAGAACAACAAGGAATGTGTAAGCTTGAAATAGAACAACAAGGTACGTGGCAGCTTGAAATAGAACAAGTGCTTGGAAGCGTGAAATAGAACAACAAGGTACTTGAAATCTTTAAGTTCCGGCAATAGCATCAATGGCGACCACTAAGTATTTTAACTACTTTCTATTTCTTGTTATTTTTAAATATTTTTTTGGTTTCATTTGTCCTATTTGCAGCGGAAGGCTCATAGCCGAAACGTTTTTTTTTTTGTTTTTTGTTTTTTGCTTCCCTGTCTTTCTATTTCATTTCAAGCTACCACACACCTTGTTTTGTCTCCTCTCAGTTTTTGGTCCTCATTGTTAGGAACATTATAATTTCTTCCATTTCAAGAAATGAAATTTTTTTTTTTATCATCTGCGTTTCACTATACCAACTCAGCATCCTTATGTGAAATGATGCCAATCTGGCACAATATGGGTTAGCAACACACGGGGTTATTTTGGTTGGATTTTTGGTTGAGAAATGTGATATAGGATTTAGACCCATCTATTTTTGTATACGCTGTGAAATCGGCACCTGCTGTCTAAGATGGAACACCTTCCTCTTCCTCAAATAAATTAAGAATCTGCCAAAATATACAGGTCTACCCATATCACGAGATGTGCCATGATTATCGATCATTCTTTTTTTGTGATTTCTGTTCTTGGGTCTTATCCAGGTGGTAATAGTTATGGCTTTATCTTATCCAGGTGGTAATCGTTATGGCTTTATCTTATCCAGGTGGTAATCGTTATGGCTTTATCTTATCCAGGTGGTAATCGTTATGGCTTTATCTTATCCAGGTGGTAATCGTTATGGCTTTATCTTATCCAGGTGGTAATCGTTATGGCTTTATCTTATCCAGGTGGTAATCGTTATGGCTTTATCTTATCCAGGTGGTAATCGTTATGGCTTTATCTTATCCAGGTGGTAATCGTTATGGCTTTAAAACAACAGTTTTCTTTGTTGTTTGACTTGTTCGCTTTGATTATTGACGACAAACGTCATCAAATAATGTGGAGCGTGTCATTCGTAAATAGGAAACCGCCAACAGAAACAATAAACTCGATTAGTCATACACCGATATTGGCTCAGACCCACGATACTATCTTAGAACAACGATACTAGCCTAGGCCAACGATACTAGCTTAGAACAACGATACTAGCTTAGAACAACAATACTAGCTTAGAACAACGATACTAGCTTAGAACAACGATACTAGCTTAGACCCACGATACTGGCTTAGACGCGAATAGTTTAGACCCATAATAATAACTTAGGCCAACGATACAAGCTTAGACAAACGATACTAGCTTAGGCTAAAGGTACTAGCTTAGAACAACGATACTCGCTCAGGCCAAAGGTAAAAGCTTAGACCAAAGATACCAGCAATGACCGGTGTGGATTTTAATTATTTCGCACTGCCCAACAAAAGTCATTCAATCACTTCCCAGCCTTGGCTCAGCATTGGCTACGACACTCGTCACACATATCCCATACCTTTAATCTTAACATTTCACAGTTGGCAAAGTCGGAAATCGACAATGTGTGGGTTTTAAATTATTTGTGATCTCGTTCACGTAAGATGATGCGCTCCCACCATGCTTATCCATGCTCCTTTGCTTTGACCCAACAATTTTTTTTTTCAACTTTCATGTCTAAAATTGTATTTCTCTTATATTTTCAGGTAAAGTTTGTCATATGAACAACCAACGATCTTTTTGTAAAACTTCGGATGGAATAATTGTATCTCTTCCTTGAGCTGTTACCAAGAAAAACTCCACTTGGATTTAAAACGATTTCCGACAATGCAGCGGTTCTGCGATAAGGCATAAACATTGGCTAATGTGTTGGAGCCTCGATTAACGGGACTGTCACAATGGCTCGTGTTTTAGTGGACGGTTCGCACAAAAAACAAAAAAAAAAACAAACCGTGAGCTCTCGGCGCTTTTAACGTTATCTGGATAAAGTCGCGTTGGCGACATCAAAATGTTGGATGCTGATTGCTTGTGCAAACATGGAAGTCACACCTCAGAATTTAAGTGTTCCATAACAAAGGGAGAACAACAACAAAAATTGTGGGGATTTCCTGAAATCATAATTGACAGCTCAAGTTAAATGATAACTTTTTCTGATCAAAACAGTGGATAGGTGGATAAGTGGATTATTCTAAAAATATTGGTCAATTTTGTGATGTCATATTGCTGGGTGGGGGTAAATTTAGTTTACTTGAAAATTCGTAAGCATCATCTTTAAGATATTTGATCTCTCTAAAAGCGAATTCATCCTCTCAACCATCTTACAACACAACCGATTTCAATTGAATGTAACAAGAGACTGGTGAAAATTACCACCATGAGGACTTTGGTATTACAGGGGAAAAGCTGACTCACATTTTTAAGGTAACTCATGAGGAAGACGTTTAACTTGACCTTTTAATGCAAGGCGACACAATATTTATTTTTTTTTAATGAAAATTTCTTCATTTCTATTTATTTATAATTATGATTTAATTTAATTTTTTTTTAAACTATGTGTATTATCATAACTTTAAAGTGTTAAATTTGTATTGCAAGTTTTTAAATATTATAATTTCAATTATAGTTATTATTATTGTTATTACTTTTGAGAAGAAAGTCTAAATTCTTAAAATATTTTTTTTTTAAAATAAAAATAACTTTTATACTTCTTGCTGTAAAACAAGGGGGAACAACCAAGGGTTTGACGTTGAATGCAAACTTCATCAACTTTTAAGAACGCGAGTCATGATTTTTGTCAAACGGACAAATTGTCAGTGATTAGCCGTAAACGTTTTTTAAACATATTTAAAAAAAAGGTTCAAATTATCAAGCTATAACAGTAGATTTAAAACCACACAAAAATTATTCCAATGCTTATTTTTTTAAAACTGAACTAAGGGTGAATTTTGGAAGCTCGACTTCCATCACTGTAGAGCTGAAAAGTCAAGATTTAGTCGAACAATTTCATGCCAAAAAATATCTTGAAAAAATTGTTTTGTTGTTTGTTGGTTTTTATTTGACGCATTCTACGAAAGGGTGTTTACTCAGCCCCTGTGTTAACAATTTTAGCAACAACACCAAAAAAATGTCCATGCATACCTCTGCCCACCCCTGATTGTTAATGGTAGATAATCCTTACCACGTGACACCATGCACCCCCAACACTCATGTCAATGGTAGTTGATCTTTACCACGTGACACCTTACACCCCCAACACGCATGTCAATGGTAGTTGATCTTCACCACGTGACACCTTACACCCCCAAAACGCATGTCAATGGTAGTTGATCTTCACCACGTGACACCTTACACCCCCAACACGCATGTCAATGGTAGTTGATCTTTACCACGTGACACCATGCACCCCCAACACTCATGTCAATGGTAGTTGATCTTTACCTCGTGACACCATGCACCCCCAACACTCATGTCAATGGTAGTTGATCTTCACCTCGTGACACCATGCACCCCCCAACACGCATGTCAATGGTAGTTGATCTTTACCACGTGACACCTTACACCCCCAACACGCATGTCAATGGTAGTTGATCTTCACCACGTGACACCATGTGGCCCTTTATTGTAGTATTAAAATGCTCCACTTTTGTTCACCAGCCCATTCAAAGAACTTCGTTTGTGGATAAAGACTTGAAATTCCTTATTAAAAAACAGTTTGCTTAAATACACTAGTTGAATGGATTGGAAAATAATATAATGTCAACGGAAGACTGATCAGAGGAGATAAAGAGTAGGCTGCATACATGAAAAGAGTATATGATGAAACTATGTGATATCTGAATATTGCACATGAAGCGTTGCAATTCGGCAAAGGTGAAGGCATACGTTGGGGTAGGAGGTGGTGCGACTCTTCTTTGTGGGAATGGCATTTGCGTTCCTTTTCCGCTTTACGCGACCGTCTGTTTGATGCTGGCCCCGTATGATTTGTGTAGCTCTCGTCGGGTGAGGGGCGCAAACGTTTAAGGACCCCCCCCCCCCGGGCGTAACAAGACTCCAGCCACACCACGGCATCTTCGATTATTGAAATTCAATATTTATTTTTGTGGGCTTTAAGTTTTTGTTTTTTTACGTTGGGGTAGGAGGTGGTGCGACTCTTCTTTGTGGGAATGGCATTTGCGTTCCTTTTCCGCTTTACGCGACCGTCTGTTTGATGCTGGCCCCGTATGATTTGTGGAGCTCTCGTCGGGTGAGGGGCGCAAACGTTTAAGGACCCCCCCCCCCCGGGCGTAACAAGACTCCAGCCACACCACGGCATCTTGGATTATCGAATGACAATATTTATTTTTGTTGGTTTTTTGTTTTTGTTTTTTTTATCCCAATGTAAAAGTAGTTTGCTACGAAGACACCAAGATATCCTAGCCGGCTAAGCCGATGAATGAATACGACAATTGAGTGGAAAAAAAAAATTAAGCTTTAATTTAGTTTGAGTTAGACTTCAGCTCTAATTAAATATTTTAAATGTTGAAACGATGTTTGTTTCGTGAATATCAATCGATGTTTGAAATTAGCTTACTAGAAATTCATTAGACGATCTCGTGCCACAAGAGGCATTACGTATCTGGAAATTTGATCGAAAGAAATGTCGTCGAAGGAAATAAATTGATCGACGGAAATTTGATGGAACGGAAATTTGGTCGAATCTTTTTTTCTTTTTTTTTTTGAGTTCCCGCGTTAAAATTTTGCGTCAAATTTCTTTTTGAACGCACTGTAAAAAAAAAATAATGCATTCAAAAAGAAATTTGACGAATATTTAATAGTTTAAACTCAAAAAAAGATTCGACCAAATTTCCGTTTGATCGAATTTCCGTCAACGAAATTTATTTCGATCAAATTTCCGGTAACTGAGACGTTATCCATTCTGCCCACCAGGTTCCCCCCCCCCTTTTTTTTTCAGAGCCGGCGCTAGGGGAGGGCGAAGTGGGCGACCCCGCGAGTTGCCGTTGTATATTTATAATATACCTAAGCCTACTAATAGTTCCTAATCCATTCAACACAATATTCGGAGTTAATAGATAGTCAATGGCATGAGGGTCAGTCTGGCTCCCATACTATTCCTAGTATTTTGTTTGTCTTTTTTTTTTTTGCTTTTGTTTTGCTTGTGTCCATTCCTAATCCCTTCAACACAATATTCGGAGTTAATAGATAGTCAATGGCATGAGGGTCAGTCTGGCTCCCATACTATTCCTAGTATTTTGTTTGTCTTTTTTTTTTTTGCTTGTGTTTTGCTTGTGTCCAGATTACAATGGCTCATTCAGCTTCGTGTTTTCGTTATTTGTTTTTGACAACCTTGATATTGGTAGCAATGGAGCCGCGATGAGTAATTTAAGCCAGGGCAATTAACTGCTATAGGAAAAAAAAGAAATTTCGGAAACTAAGCGAGTGAACAAATATCCGTCAAGGCGTTATGACCAGCAAGGCCCCGGTACGACTATAACTTAAGTGTCTTAATTATCCTGTCGGCGGAATTTATAACGTCAACGGCCCCGCAAAATTCATTTTGCCCAAAGCCTCACATCATCTTAGCGCCCGCCCTACCACTTTGCCGCCCCACCCCCCAAAAAATTCAATCCCCCCAAAATAAATAATGAATAAATAAATAAGAACATTAATTTTTGACATTTTTATTACCACATATATGATAATCCTACATTCATAGAAAATAATTCCATAATTTACGTATTATCATGATCCCACATTCTCAAAGGATAATTTTACATTCATATATGATGATCCAACACTCACATATAGCAATCCCACAATCACATATGAAGATCCCACATTCACATATAATAATCACACATTTACGTATTGTCAAGATTCCCACATTCTCAAAGGATAATCCCACATTCTCCTATGATAATCCGACTTTCAGATATGATGATCCACATACTCATATGATATTCCCACATTCTCACTCGCCAATGAGAAAAGGAGTTAGCAGAGATTTAAGTTACGATTCAGCTTTAGCTTTCAGCCGAGACGTCAACAGCTTTGTCCCCGTCTTCCTTTGGGTTTTCCCCTTCCCCGCGTGTCGTATGTTTGTAAGATTACCAACACGTTCTTCATTTGGTCATTCCAGTCTGGCACCCATGACCCGTGTGGATCTCCCGGTGGAATCGTGTACCGTTTTCAAATTTTTAAAGTCTATGTCAGTGTGGTAGAAAAACAATTCCTCTACTCTGTCAGATATAGATTTATATTTTTTTTTTTTTTTTTTTTAAATGTTTGAAAGAAAAAAAAAATAAATAAATTACCGAAAAGTTATTGTAGCGTAAAAACCATACTTGTAATCGCATCGAAGTCACAGGTTGTCGTATTAAAGATGACGCACTTTTAGTTCAGCTGAACGAAGCCCTCTGCATAAAAGTTCATCTTCCATACAGCCACCGATCAGTGTTTCTCCGAGGCATTATGAAGTTATCCAAGCGAGGACAATCCACGCTCGTGGAATCTGTTTAGTGTGAATGGATGAAGTTCTTGGCTCGATGAAAAGATGGGCTCTGCCGTTTGTCGACCGCATTTGGGTGATTCGTTAAGGAGTGTCGCGGTAAAAATTCTAATAGACAGAATATCAAAGTGCAGAACCGACATGACCACCCTGGTGAATGATAAAAAAGAAAATTGAATTTCATATATGTAATTTACTTTTCAATTTATAATTTAATTTATTTAATAAAAAGTTTGATCTGATGGCTTCTAAATTAATTTATTATAATTATTTATAATGACACATTTTTTGGATTTGTTTCCAAAGGATAAGGTAAATCATTATTATGATAAAATGAGATGCAAAATTTATGTTTGAAGTAATGAAATTTAAAAAAAAATATAAATTATTATAAAGATATCCCTGGCATGTTTTACATTCCCAAAGTCGGCCGTCGCTCAGTCAGTGTCACTACATTCATGAACAGCTTTTATCCAATACTAAAGGTGTTAGGGAAATTTTGTGAGCTTAAATTTCACCACTTTCAATCAATGTGTACTTTGATGTGTACGCCAAAGGAGAATGTAAATGATAGTTCAAACCAATGTTGTTGTTTTTTTTATGAATCTTAAAAATATATATATTTTTTTATTACTGAAGCATGCTTCATGAATATTTACTTATTTGAAATAGTTCTGCCGCCTTCGTGTTTATCATCTTGCTTCAAATTCGTCTTAACGCCATCCTAAGTACTGTTAAATTGTTGTTTGTTTCTTTTTTTTTTTAAACGTTCATACATCGTAATCAACATACATAATCTCTGGATCCCTATTAGCACCCATACATTAATACATTCGATGTGGTAAACTATGTCACCTTACAAAGATTTGTTAAAATAAAAATAATAAAATGTGAGTTACTATTTGTGAATTTTTTGGGTAATTTTTACAAAGGAAAATATATATCAAATCTTAGCCTTCGTGGTTTTACTATTGCTTACGACAGTATGTGCAAACATTTTTTTTTCAATACATATAAATATTGTTTACTTCTTACAGGATGTTTGATACACGCTTTGCGTGTCCCGGGCATGTGTGTCTTGCACTGATATTGTATTTGGCGCCTAGTCTTGGTGGTAAGTTCCAAAAACAGAGACACGTTTTAAACTACGTACGGCGCTGTGATGTCCACTATGACAAATGAACTATCAAGAGTATTGACATATGTAACGTCCGATATCAGTTATGGCATTTGTAACGTCCTTTATCCTGTATGACCTAAGTTACATCCTATATCAATAATGAACTATGTTACGTCCTACATCAGTTATGACCTAATGAAATGTCCTACATCAATTATGACCTATGTAACGACCTATATAAATTATGACCTATGTAACGTTGTTTATCCATTATGACCTATGTACCGTCCATTATCTATTTTGACCTAATGTAACGTCCTATATCAATTATGACGTATGCAACATCCTTTATCAATTATGACCTATCTAATGTCCTTTATCAATTATGACCTATGTTACTGCCTTTATCAATTATAACCTATATTACGCCCTTTATCAATTATGACCTGCGCAACGTCCTATACCAATGATCTATGTAAAGTCATATATCAATTTTGACCTATGATACGTCCGAAATAAATTATGACCAATCGGAATCGGTCTTTTCCACACCATCTTCTTTGAGAATATTTTCTTATTAAACTAAACTAACGAGCCCGCATGTATTGACTAGTGACCTAAAGAGATTTTTATACTTGACCTGTTTGCTTAGGTCTCTAGTTGGTAAAAACTTTGAATAAATATATTTGCTTATGATTTCGATTACTGTTGTTGTTATTTTGCACCCAATTCACCTAAATTTACACAATAAAGAAAGCATATTTTATTGTTTCGGTGTAATCTATTTGTAGAATTATGGTCATGAATTGTAAGCCACAAGTTCGCAATGTGTGTGTGTGTGTGTGTCCATTTGATATGTGTGACTGTCCTTGACACTGGCCTACACTGGTGTTGGTCCCCTTCTTTTTTAGTCCTATGTCCCTCTTTATCTCGCTGGCGATTAGCGTAGTGTTTAGCAGTTTAGAATTAAAGATTCTCTACGGCAAAACACGACAAATGCCAAGTGACACGCTTGGTTTCTGTAATGTATATTTGTGATCCACTTTTTGATGAGTATCAGCGAACAAAATTGAGGATAAGACCATAAAGAGTCTTTATATAGACTTCAATCGAATCCAGTTACGCATATTGCCAGTGATGTGCAACCAATGCATTTATTAGTTTGTTTTCAATTTTGAAAATGTTTTTTTTCTAATATTTCATTTCATATAAGCGACTCTTGATGGACATAGGAAAAAAGTTCAGGGTAATGGGGGGGGGGGGGGGGGTTTGGGGTTTGGAAATAAAATGAGTAAAACAGAGTATGGTTAAACCTGAAAAATTAAACGCAACAAAACAGCGAACGTGTCGGCAGAAGGCCTTCGTCAGCGAACAAAACAACAGAAAAAACGTTATAAAAATAAGAAATAGCACTTAGCTGGTAAGTAGTATCTGTGGGCAGCAATAGAAGTGTGAGATCTATTTGATGTCAGTAGTACTTCTATTGCTGCCCACAGATACTACTTACCAGCTAAGTGCTATTTCTTATTTTTATAACGTTTTTTCTGTTGTTTTGTTCGCTGACGAAAGCCTTCTGCCGACACGTTCGCTGTTTTGTTGCGTTTAATTTTTCAGGTTTAACCATACTCTGTTTTACTCATTTTATTTTGTACTAACCTGATTCCAGTCTCTCCCCTTATTACCCCTTGGGGTTTGGAGTTGGGTGTGTTCGGGGGTAAGTCTGTCAGTCCATCCCCGAAGACGTATCAATGCCATCAACAACTATTGGACTCCCAACATCTACTGTACATTCTCTCCACTCCAAAACGAACTCCCTCATTCAACAAAAACTCTAATTGGCCAGAGTTCCTCCACAGTTAAAACATTCTGTGTATTATACAAGAAATATGTAAGATAATAATTGAAGGTCTGCATTCAAGCTAAATGAAATGGCATTACAAGGTATGTTGAAGCTCGAATTAAAAGAATTAGAGTCTTCTTTAGCGAACAGGACAAATGGAAAAAAAAGAAAAGAAAAATCGAACATTAAGAAAAACTTTAGAGATCTCCTTTGTTCTTGACGGAAGTAGGATTACATGGAATGAAAGAAAATAAATATTGGTACTGTGAATAATGATGTCCAGAGCCTTAACGGACCAAAATAATTAAGGATATATACAATCTAAAGAATAAGAAAAATTAGCAATAAAGGAAAATTGAGAAACATTAGTAGGGGAGTATTTGATCCATTCCATATGGGGATATGATTCTGAAAAGCTGATTAAATTTGTTTTCCATGTTAACTCCCTCTGGTGTGTTGGTACAGGGTATCAGTGCCGTAATGGTTACATCTCATGAACCTTTATGTTCCTCTCTGTTGAAATGTGAAGAGACTGGGGGAAGTTTACCTTGTTCAATATCCCGAAGATGTCCCGTGAACCTGTCTGCCAACATTCTCCAAGTTTTGCCTAAGTAACTAGATTGGCATCTACGGCAATCAATCGCATATATCAAATTATTTCTAATGCATGTGAAACCTTCTTTGATAGTAAAGGTACTTTACTGACCACTCCTGCAATTCCCCTGGTGTCAGGCTGCTTCATCAACATGATGTTCACTTGAGTTTTCCAGCGACTTTGAAAGGGGCGATTTTCTATGTTAAGAACAAGCTCATAATCGTGAAGAAAAAAAAAAAAATAATCCCAGGCCTTGTAGACTTCGTCGGCGCCATCGTTTATTTTGTTACACAACTTACTACTTTCTAACGCAAATTAATACTTTATTATACAACATATAACTTTTTTACACAACTTACAATTTTTTAAAATAAAATTAAAACTTTATTAAACAAGTTACTAATTACTCTAACTACTACTTTCTTATACAAATTACTACGTTCTTACTCATATTCCTACTTTATTACATAACTGACTACTTTCTTTTACAACTGACTACTTTCTTACTCAACTTACTAAATTATTAATAAAATTAAAACGCTATTAACAAATTTCTATTTTCTTACTCAAGTTACTACTTTCTTAACAAAAAAAACACAAAAAAACTACTTTCTTATACATTTTAATTCCTTCTATAACAAAACTTATAAAATAAGGCATTTCGTATGCACCTCTCACTTTCTTAGTTCCCGTGACGGTACTTTATGATATAATCAAGTTCATTCTTTCCCCACAGAGCTGTACTGCCCTCCGGCCATCCCAGGGGAAGACTACGTGGCCACTGCTGAACTGTCCTACGAATCACTGCATGGGTGCCTGCCGCTGACATTCACTCTGAAGAGCACTAGCAGCGGTACAATCGTCACCTGTGATCTCAGCAACAACAAGTGTACATGGGAGGGCAAATACCATTTGGATAGTGTTATCAGTTTTGAAGTAAATGAAAAGTCTGAATAGTTGTAATTTAATTTTTTAAATATACATTGTAACTCTTTGCTTTGTGTGTTTATGTGTGTGATGTGGGAGACACAGTGATGATAGTTATCAAAATGTATATATTAGAGCTAATGTGGCCGTCTTTTCTGCGCAAAATTAAATTTCAAGTCCAGCTTTACACGCTTGGCGTTTTATTCACACAATAAATAAGGCTTAAAACAAAACAAAAAAACAAAAAATGAGTAAAACAAAGTAGGGTTAACCCGGAAAAAAAGTAACGCAACAAAAAAATAATAATTATAAAACAATACTATTATAAGACAAAGCACGGGGTATGCATCCTCAAAATGTTTATGGTATTTCATTTCTTAAAAGCTCATTGGTGAAATGTATAATATGCGTCCACCTTCTTCAATATGTCGGCCCTCGTCATCTCAACTCAATTTCATGAAAACTATTTCCGCAAATTAAAAAAAGGTACTAACTTCATTCCTTTCTTAGGTATTCGACTGCTAAGTCCTTGTTGGGGCAGTGCCCCCCCCTGGGGGAAAGCCAAGTGCCCCCCCCCCGGAGCAAAAATATGTCCGACGATAAATCAACTGGGACTGCTGGCACTGCCCCCCACCCCCGAAAATCTGAAGTGCCCCCCCTGGGGAAATTTTCTGAAAGAAACACTGTATTCAATCTAGTTTATCCTTATTTAGTCTCCTTTGAGTGTATGATCTATTAGATTTTGATTTTAAAAATTGAATCTGATATGCCCATTATGTTTATCCATATGTCAGTCAACATATCAGGGTTGCCATCAATGTTCCCTTTCAGCTACGCAGCCGCGCGGCAATATCACTGACGCCGCGCAGCAGTTTTGAGTACCGCGCAGCTAATAAGTGTCTTTAGGCTGAAAATTTTGCGCACAAAAAAATTGATGCTGTAAAAATTTGCACACAACCTTATGATTTTGCCCACGAACCAACAAACCTTAGAGGGAACATTGATTGCCAGCCGTCCGGAAATTTACGGAAAGTCCTTAAAACGTGACCGAAAAAAGGGCTGGTCCGTAAACACACAAAAATGAGACGTATACAAAAACGGGACGNTTTTTTTTTTTTTTTGGTTTTTTTTTTTTTTTTTTTTTTTTTTTTGCTTGCTTTTAACAGTTTTACCTATATTTAGAGAAAACTGGTGAGAATGCCATACAATTAGCTAATGTTAAAAATTTTGCCCATGAATCATCATAGTGTTAAAAGTGTAGCCCTATTTGATATTTGACATGTTACATAAAAACATAATTATAGTCACGCGCAAATTAAGTATTAAGTTTCATAATTCAACAAGTGAATTTTAACTCGTCGGCAACAGTTAGCCTATGCGTGAAATGTGTCAAGGTTCAGATTGTTTCTCAGGAAAATTTCAGATGCAAGATTTGATGTTAGTTTTGATTTGTGGGTGTCGACAAGTGCAAGATTTGATGTAAGTTTTGTTGTGTGATGTCGAAAAGTGCAAGATTTGATGTTAGTTTTGATGTGTGAGTATCAAGAAGTGCAAGATTTGATGTTAGTTTTGATTTGTGGGTGTCGACAAGTGCAAGATTCGATGTAAGTTTTGATGTGTGGGTGTCGAGAAGTGCAAGATTCGATGTTAGTTTTGATGTGTGAGTGTCGAGAAGTGCAATATTTGATGTAAGTTTGATGTGCGAGTGTCGAGAAGTGCAAGATTTGATGTAAGTTTTGATGTGTGAGTGTCGAGAAGTGCAAGATTTGAGGTTATTTTTGATGTGTGAGTGTCGACAAGTGCAAGATTTGATGTAAGTTTTGATAGCCAGATGTCCGCACGTGCAACATGTGGTGAAATCATAGAAATTAAAATAGCATCACTTTATTTTTTAGTCGTTTCTTTTTAAGTCTAAACAAATCTTGATCCGTAATCTCGAATAGCATCTTTTGTTGACAATTCTCGAATAGACGAGTGTTCTTTGTAACTCTTGTTCGGGGAGATGGTTAAACACCTTTTGCTAAAATAATTGATGTTTTGTGATGAACTTGAAATTTTGACCACCCACCCCCCAAACCTTTTTTTTTTTTTCTTTTTTTTACTTTTTTTTTTTCAAAAACCCACAAGTTTCAAACTTTGAAATTCCTTTTTACTAATTTAGAAATAGAATTCAATTAAATTTTTTAAAAATTTTTTTTTTTAATTTATTTTTTTTTTTTTCTTTTTTTTACTTTTTTTTTTTCAAAGACCCACAAGTTTCAAACTGTGAAATTCCATCTTCCTAATTTAGAAATCGAATTCAATTACATTTTTTAAAAATTCTTCTTATTAATTGTTGATTTCCATTTAAAGATAGAAATCTCAACATTTTTTACACTACCCTTTAAGCTATGAGTAATGGCCATAGATTTTTTTTTTTTTAAATATTTATATCCCAGAAATGTTTCAGCGTTAAGTTTACTTCAAGATGTTTACCCCTGGCACAAAAAAAATAATTGAAAAAATAAAGGTTTTATTATATATTATATTTTATTAGTTCCAACAAATTTGAGACCCCCCTTATTTGGTTTTATTCCATCGTTTCTAAATGTAGACAACCCTTCTAGGAAATGGAAATGGATTCCAGATTACTGCTAATGTGCCTTCGGCTAATTTCTCTATGTTCCTCGGCCAAACTCTACACTTAGAATGGGGTCTGTGTGATGGCGAGTCAACATCAGACTCATGTAGCCTCGAAATTGGAGGTTAGTAAACGAAGTCCTCTTTGACAAAGACGAGTGTTAGAAAGACTGATAGTTCAGTTATAACGTAGTACAGTAAGGTAGTACTGTAAGTTAGTACAATAGGGTAGTACAGTAAGGTAGTACAGTTACCTGGAAGAAAAAAAATTTTAAACGTCATAAAACATTTTTTTTTCAATGACTGGCATATGACGAAGACGCGTAGATGACAGAAGCAAGCCCTGACCTCATAACTGACGTCAGGGATCATTTGTAAGTTTGCTGTCAGTGTAGTCGCCAAAGACCCTAACAGTGTTGGACAAGGGGCATCTCAGATTCACCAACTTTTATTGATGCGGTAGCAAACTTCCGAACATTGGCAACGGCGCCACATATCATAGCCTCTGTCTTATCGTCATTTAATTTAAATCTGTTTAATGCGATCCATGATTTTTACCACAAGACAGCAGTCCTCAACAGCCAGAACAGCAGCAGCACAGTCCATAGGATCAGGCCGGAAACACTTCTACAGCTCTGTGTTATCCGCAAATATTATGGAACATCGTGAGCGAATACTTCGAACATAAAAAAACAGATCGTTAAAGTGTAAACACTGCAAAAAAACTATCACGACGTTCATGCAAATGGTTTGATTATTGCGTTGCAAAGGAAAAAAAAGTCAGTGTCATTCCATCATTCCATTGAAAAGATCATAGCTCAACAGTCTGTGGGGGAGAGGGGTGGGAAGAGATTAAAGCTATGAGAGGAAAGGACCTAAACAAAATCTAGGTATACTTGGAAAAAAAAAGGATACAATAAAACGAGGAACGTATCGGCAAGTAGCCTTCTTCAAAGGACAAACGACATTAAAAATAAAATACAATTTTTTTTTTTAAACTTTAGTATCAACAGGACAACAAGAGGAATGTGACAGAACATAAGAAAAGATTAAATGCTGGCAAAATTTGACGGAAAGGGGGGAGAAGTAAGTCCTCTGCGATTGGTCGTAACGAAGAAGAGACGGAGAAAGGGTTTAACATAGTAATAGTATATATAGCTGGGAAACATTTTTAACGTAGGAGTTGATGCTGAAGCCGTGACATTTTTATTTTATTGAGATATTATTTGACAAATGTTAACTTTTGCAGGTCCTACGGACGAGTGTGCGCTTGTTAAGCCATGTCTCCATACCAGCGATTGTATTGACGAAAAAGTTGGCTACGATTGTAGATGTGCATCAGGATATTCTGGCCTTAACTGTTCAGTGGGTAAGACGATTCTCTTTACAATGTTTTAAGCCTTAGATAAAAGGGTTCACTAACCAAACACGGTTTACAGCGTATTCTGATGACAGTCGTTTCTTCTGATAATCCCTCTTATTGCTTCTAACACAGAGTTCAAACCGTTTGATTTAAACTGAAAAAAAAAACTCTTCGAACAGGGGATGACGAACTCGCGTGCAACGTGACGTCAATCACACTTCAGCCCAGCCAACCCGAGGACGCCTGTTTCGAAGATTCCTACATTCAATGTTGGGTGGCGGCACAGTCCTCCTACGCCCCAGTGAACCTCTCCGTCGATTATGACAAGGCATACGAAAAGGGTTACGACGTGAGCGTGGAAGTCACTTACGACATTCTGACGCTTCGTGTCTGCTTAACTCAGGACTCTGCGCCAGGGAGTTACAACGTGAGTATAGTTTTGTTACGATTATCTTTCTATCCACGTGACTTGTGTTGTTACGATTATCTTTCTATCCACGTGACTTGTGTTGTTACGATTATCATTCTATCCACGTGACTTGTGTTGTTACGATTATCATTCTATCCACGTGACTTGTGTTGTTACGATTATCTTTCTATCCACGTGACTTGTGTTGTTACGATTATCATTCTATCCACGTGACTTGTGTTGTTACGATTATCTTTCTATCCACGTGACTTGTGTTGTTACGATTATCATTCTATCCATGTGAGTTGTGTTGTTACCATTATCATTCTATCCACGTGAATTGTGTTGTTACGATTATCATTCTATCCATGTGAGTTGTGTTGTTACCATTATCATTCTATCCATGTGAGTTATGTTGTTACCATTATCATTCTATCCATGTGAGTTGTGTTGTTACCATTATCATTCTATCCATGTGAGTTGTGTTGTTACCATTATCAATCTATCCATGTGAATTGCGTTGTTACCATTATCATTCTATCCATGTGAGTTGTGTTGTTACCATTATCATTCTATCCACGTGAATTGTGTTGTTACGATTATCATTCTATCCATGTGAGTTGTGTTGTTACTATTATCATTCTATCCATGTGAGTTGTGTTGTTACTATTATCATTCTATCCATGTGAGTTGTGTTGTTACCATTATCAATCTATCCATGTGAATTGTGTTGTTACCATTATCATTCTATCCATGTGAGTTGTGTTGTTACCATTATCATTCCATCCACGTGAATTGTGTTGTTACGATTATCATTCTATCCACGTGAGTTGTGTTGTTACCATTATCATTCTATCCACGTGAGTTGTGTTGTTACGATTATCATTCTATCCATGTGAGTTGTGTTGTTACTATTATCATTCTATCCATGTGAGTTGTGTTGTTACCATTATCAATCTATCCATGTGAATTGTGTTGTTACCATTATCATTCTATCCATGTGAGTTGTGTTGTTACCATTATCATTCCATCCACGTGAATTGTGTTGTTACGATTATCATTCTATCCACGTGAGTTGTGTTGTTACCATTATCATTCTATCCATGTGAGTTATGTTGTTACCATTATCATTCTATCCATGTGAGTTGTGTTGTTACCATTATCCTTCTATCCATGTGAGTTGTGTTGTTACCATTATCATTCTATCCATGTGAGTTGTGTTGTTACCATTATCAATCTATCCATGTGAATTGTGTTGTTACCATTATCATTCTATCCATGTCAGTTGTGTTGTTACCATTATCATTCTATCCGTGTGAGTTGTGTTGTTACGATTATCATTCTATCCATGTGAGTTGTGTTGTTACCATTATCATTCTATCCATGTGAGTTGTGTTGTTACGATTATCATTCTATCCATGTGAGTAAGGAAATAAAGAAATACAAACCACCGGGATATTAACTATATATTTTTTTTTTTTTTTTTTTTTTTTTTTTTTTTTTTTACTTTTGTATCATTGCTACACCATGAAACGCAGATTCCATGTCCATTGGAATCAATAAATAGTCTAGATATTAATATTATTTAAATCATGAATTCAAATTAGTTCGAATATATTGATTGTAAAAATAAAATTAGATACGATTCACATAAAGTTTGTCTTTCAGAGACTGATGTAATGACTTTTAGTATCAGTGGCGTTGAATTCTCCGATTCAAAAGAAAACATTCGTCAATGTTGCGAACAGTGTTAAACATCTTCCTTTAACATTGACTTAAAATATGGGTTGACAAAATGATGGCGCGAGATTATGTCTACGATTCAACTAGATTTTACATAGATGATGTTGAGCCCTTAAAGTGGCGCCTTTATATTCAATATTTAATAATGTTCCCTCTAAATGAATCACTATGGTTACAACTAATGTAAGGATAGTCTAGGTTATTGGAAATCATAGTATTAGCTTATGAAAAAAAAATGAAGACGTCACGTAATATTTGTAGGCAGCGTACCAACAAACCACTCGTCCACATTAAGATCATGTTTCTTGTCCACCCAGAATAGTGAGGTCTAATTTAAAGAGGTCAGACCCAACTAAGCTTCCTTGGCAGAGGCGTATCGTGGTGGGGGCGGGGGGGGGCAGATGTCCCCGGGCGCCAGCTAGTTAGGGGCGCCAAAATGTGCTTTGATATTATTTTATTGATGAAAATAATGAGTTTGAGAGTTGAAAAAAAGAAAAAGGGGCGCTAAAAATGGATCTTGTCCCAGGGCGCGAATCTTGTCCCCGGGCGCCAAACTCCCTCGCTACGCCACTGTTCCTTGGTTAAAAAGGTGACAATAATTTATGTCAATTAATGTCAAATGGAATTGAAGCTTATTCAGAAATGTTTTTCATTTTTTTTTTTTTTTTTTTAATTTACACTCTGCGTCTTGGTATAAAATCAGATAATAAATAAATCCAGCTGTATTTTTTTTTCTTTGTTGAATTTTTGAAACTTTATAAGCTCAATGTGCATCAAAAGTTTTATGGATTATTGTGTCGTAAGGGCCATATGTAGAAGGTCCGTATTTTCTTGACACGCTTGTTGTTCAATTGATTTAATACTGTCACGTTGATGCGGCCTGTTATAATAGAGCTAGTTTGATGGTAAACATTTAAATCATTTCACTGTCAAACTTAGAAGATATTCCTAATGATTTTAAGGTAATAGTGAGCCTGTCCGTTGTACAATATAATTTTCTTTCAATTTAGCTGACTTACAACATCAGCACCGATGGCCGTGATCAAGAATTTCCGGTGACCTTGTCGGGTGAAATTCTTCCTTACAGCAACACAGCACCGAAATTTGTGTCTGCTGATGACAGCGGGTCGTACCTCATCAACGTGACGGAATCTGTGACCATCGGCGCCAAGGTTTTATGTGTCAACAGGTCACGGACGGAACGTGCCGGGTGCTTAGGTCAACCTAGCTGCGTGATGGTCGTTGACCCAGATGACAACAAGAACTTTGGCGTCCAGTCTCTTGGAGTAGGCGTCATTGACTGTAAGTTGTGGACGTGGACATCCATTACACCTGATCATCAACCCCCTTTTTAACTACATATACAATAATGGCCACATAGGGGCCGAATAATTTAAATGATGATAATCTTATTCCAAATTTAACTTTACCAAATGATGTCTGACATTGAAGGCTTCGATCACCAGGCCGCCAAACTGACTGTTTGTGAAAGTAAGAAACAAACAACTAAAAAAAAAAAATACATTTGTCTAGGTACAGGTCTTTATGTTGAATTCTTTTTAAAAAGACTATGAAAAATGTTTATTTAATTTATTTTTAAATAGCTTCAATTTCTATTTAACTATTAAAGTTAATCAAAAAAATATTATTTTGTTTAAATCAAATGTATCAATAGATTATAATGCACGTGATAGAAATCTGAAGTCGTTACGTAAATGTTTAGATGTATTTTGATAGGTTCAAATTTTTTTTCTTATCCCAGACGGTACAGACTCTGATGTTCTAAACTTCACTACAGAAAATACAGAAAAATCTCTGGGATGTTTGTATGTGCAAAAGAAACTGATTCCAGCTAAAACCTTTTGGATTGACTTAACTGTAAGTGTCAGGATTGAACCCCCCCCTCGCCCTCCCACCCACCTCCACCACCCCCACACCCCCACCCCCCCCCCCCCCAGGGATGTTTGTATGTGCAAAAGAAACTGATTCCAGCTAAAACCTTTTGGATTGACTTAACTGTAAGTGTCAGGATTGAACCCCCCCCGCCCTCTCCACACCACCACCACCACCCCCACACACGCACTCCCCCCTCTCCACACCACAGCACCACCACCCCACACACACGCACTTTTCCCCCCACATGAAATGAGTCTATTCCATTGTATAAACATAACGAAAGTCCAGAAAGTAAATAATTCTATTAGTGAACTGCATGCGCTGTCTGCCTTTTTTTCCCGAGTTATTCTTTGTTCTTCGAGCTCCTGGTTGATATATAAGTATATTTCCATTCGCTGTAGGCAGCCCGCAAGCATCACGTGATGCCTTCATTTATCCATGTTTCAGGTTCAAGATGGAGGAATGGAGGCTGCGAAAGCAAGATTTTATTTTTATATTCTTGATGCTAACGAGCCCCCGATGTGTGAAGCCAACAGTATAGAGTTAGGAGCACTAAGCGCGTTCACTGATAGTCAGGACCTGGTGGCTATAAACTGCACGGATCCAGATACAGAAGATGAATTCAGACAAATAAAGTTTGCTGTGACGAAATATGCAGGTTTGCTGTTTGTTCTTTTCTTTTTCGCTCCCCCCCCCCCCATTCTAAAACGTAGATAAAATTATGTTCACTTAAGTTTTCTGAAATGGCTACTTAACCATTTTGTCAAAGAGATTTGTTTTTGATTTATTTCAAAGTATCTTTTAACCTAATTCTAATCCAATGGTTCTCGAAGGCCTTTCCTGGGCACAGAAGTGTGTTAAGACATTATACAGATGTGTCGCGAAACTTCGATGTCTGTGTGATATTGCAAGTCAAAAGGAATAATAATGAAAATAAAAGTATTTTTACGACAGTCTTCTGTGTAAAATTACATTGTATGATAGTGTGCCTTGAACAAAAAAAGTTTGAGAACCACATTTCTAATCTACTCCCTCCCCACCCCCCACCCCCCACCCCGATCCAGAACAATTATTCAGTACAATAATTGTATGGTCAGAACCAAGAAACTCTGACGCAATGATTTTATTATTACCTTACTTATTTCAAAGTAAACCTGGACTTAAAAGGATTTTTTTTTAGGGCTTTGCACAAATTTGTGACCTCACCCAGTATACTTTTTAGAGCAACCTACTTAAGTATTATATTATTTCTGTAATCCACTCAAACGAGTTGTACCTCAGCAAAACTCATAGTTGGACTAAATTTGGCAATGACCGTTTTTTTTTAAATTTTATATGACGTTATCTGCACCATATGCAATCTCTTGTCCAGATATTTTCCGCGTCTCAAGCTCAGGCGTGTTACAAGTCTACAGCCCCTTCAAGACATGGGAAGCCGGTTACTACTCATTCAACATCACGGCCACAGGATACTCTAGCCAGGAAGATGCAAGATTTACTTCCGTTATCACAGTAACCTTTGCAATTACAAGTAATTATTGTACAACACTTCTTTATTTTTAACTGCTATCTGGTGTCGATCTTAAAACGTAACTTGTTTAATAAATACACTATTTAGGCAGATGTGAAAGTCTTCATCTTGGCCACTCATGGAGACCTATGATGGCGACATTGCGATATTAACATGAAATTTGGGCTATTGTAACGGACATAAGAAATAATACACAAATAAAAACAAGTATCACATCTCAATATCTAAAGAAGGCCAAGATTCGACAAAAAAAAAAAAAAAAACTTTTAGACGTCTTCAAAAAAAGTTATATTTAACGGAGTAATAATTTAAAAAATAATAATTAATAAGAGAAAAAATTTCAACGATGTTATTTCCGCNAAATTTGGGCTATTGTAACGGACATAAAAAATAATACACAAAAAAAAACAAGTATCACATCTAAATATCTAAAGAAGGCCAAGATTCGACAAAAAAAAAAAAAAAAACTTTTAGACGACTTCAACAAAAGTTATATTTGACGGAGTAATAATTTAAAAAATAATAATTAATAAGAGTAATAATTTCAACGATGTTATTTCCGCCTCACATAAAATTCCTTTCTAATCAAATGGATGCTAGTGTTACATGGTTTAGTTTTATGAATAGTGTAACTAATTGGCTTCGGTAAAAGAAGACTTCTTCGTGAGAAAACCGGAACAGCGACATGCTTCATTGAACAATTCGTTGAAAAAGGGTTGAACAATTTTATTGTTTTGAATTTTTTTTTTTTTTAAAAAGATATATATTTAAATAATGTATCAAATGACCAAAGGTTTTGGAATCCCGTTATATATTAAATGATAGCTATTATCTGCCGTAGTAGCAGGAAACATCTGCAATATCCATTTCTATACAAATTGCGCAAGGCTATCAAAAGATTTAAATTGATATAGTATGACAGGGGGATTTAAAATTATATAGTATGAGCACCGCACTGAATTCCACAGGTCCACGATATTACAAAATACACCCCCCCCCTATACAAAAATACCATTTACCCCAAACCCTTACACTAAATTCACAAATCCTAACACCATTTCCATGTGCCCAATCCCACAAAAAAACACATACACTTTTGCCATATATCTATCACACACATGGCACTTTTTTTTTTGTGTGCTTTTTTTTTTAAAAAGGAATAAATGTTGCTTTCTTTTAGTTCCAGGACCAAACTGTAGCCTGTCGTCAGCTAATCCCTGGCCAATGAGCTGGCGACCTAATTTCACTGAAATTAATTTGACACTTTCTTGCGACACAAGAGATGTGGGGCGACTGCTAATTAATTCTGTCGATATTGTGGAATACTATTCGACATTTGAAGCTAATATATTTAGCGTGACATTCCAAACGAAAAACCAAAGCTCGGCGACCGTCACCCTTAAATTGGTGACATATGAAGCGGGGTATTACATTGTGAGTACATACAATGTAGGGCTTTTAAAAAAGGTCTGCTTTTTTTTATACTTTTGTTGGTATGGCTTTTTTGTTCTTTTTTTTTTTTTTTTTTTTTTTTTTTTTTTTTTTTTTTTTTTTTTTTTTTTTTTTTTTCCATTTTAGTGGTTTTTTTTTTTATTTTTCCTGTTTTTTTTTGTTTTTTGTTTTCCCTTTTTCTTTATAATTTTTTCTTTTTTTTTATTTTTAAAATGTTTTTTTTTTTTTTTTTTTTTTTTTTGTTTGGTTTTTTTTTTTTTTTTTTTTTTTTTTTTTTTTTTTTGTCTGTCTTTTTCTTATTTCCATGTGCTTATCTCCAATTCAGAGGTGTTATTTTACAATTTCCAGGTGTATTTTAGAGTTTAGTTTACCCATTACGTCTAAGACTTTGACTGATTTTTCAGGCCACGGTGAACGCCACCCTTGGGGGTGAGTGGTCCGTGACAACGATGAGGATTCCAGTCTTCAATCCTCCTAGCATAACAACACCAGACGACATAGTAAGGATACTTAGTACTGTGAGTGTGGGGTCGGAAATACTGACCATTCGTGCAACTTCGGACACCGAAGGATCATCCCTGACCTATTCAATAATAGGTAATTGGATTCATTGAAAAGAATCACCTTTAGTGCACGCCATCTTCTTTGTTTTGAATTACCTCGAAAATGACGATTAACATTGTTTCATGTCTAAATAAGAACTGAAGTCAATTTAAAACTTAAGTCATTACAATAACTTAAGTCAATATTACAAATCAAGTCCACATAAGAACTTAAGTCAATATCACAACCAATTCAATATAAGAACTTAAATCAATACTACAACTCCAGTCAATATAAGAGTGTAAGTCAATATTAGAATTTAGTCATTTTAAAAACTTGAGTCAATATAAGAACTTACAAACAATATAAGAACTCAAGTCAATATAAGAACTTGAGCCAATATAAGAACTCAAGTCAATATCATAGCTCAAGTCAATATAAGCACTTAAATCAATATAAGAACTTACTCAAATTTAAGAACTTAAGCCAATGAGCACGACAGTGAAATATCCTTTGGAGAAGTATGGCGCCCAAGTTTGGTAGCTGTTGAAGTTAAGATTTTTGTTTTTCACATTTGGTTTGTGTAGTATAATACTGACGCTTTCTTTCTTCAATGTCATGAATCCCTCCATGGTGCATGTTAATCTTTGTATGTCACAGACGGCAACAGTCAAGACGTTTTCTCTATAAACGCCACCGAGGGCACAGTTTATTTGATGAAAGATATTTTGACGGATGCTGATATCATTTACAGATTAACTTTTGAGGTAGGTATATTTTGCACAAAGCCATTGTTATTAGCTTCAGTCCCAAAAATACAAGACCAATTAAATTGAAAACAATCAAATGTTGTTCAGCACCAAAGCATGGACTTCCTTCTTCCATATTTTGAGTGCCCACGATCAATGTATTGATCATTATGGGCGGAAGAATTAGATATTACTAGCACATATTGGTGAAATATGACATGTGTGCCTCCTAGACTATCTTGGTATTACGACATTGTGTCGTAGGCGCAAGGATTATCAATACATTGATCGTGGGCCCTCAAAATATAAAAGAAGAAGAAGTGTCTTATCAATTATCTTTTTATTTGTCACATATCAATTAAATTAGCAATGTCATATGCATCTTTGGTTGGGACGTGACGCATATTAACCTAATATTCAATTTGTTTTCCTCTCATTTACTCATCATTAATTTATATTATCAATGGCGTCTCATTGTCTCAAGGTTAAAGACTCTGCCAGTAACTTGACGTCAGAAAAAGTCGTGGAGATTCAAATCATCCCAGTACTCGAATCTGCAGAGTGTGTAGTTCTTAGAAGTAATGTTTCTGTTTATAGATCTGATGATATCAATACAGTTGGTTATGTTGTTTGCCGTTTGCCACATTCTGACAGTGCAGACTACAGCTATAGTACAGGTAAGATTCTACGAGACTCGGATGTATATTTGCCTACTGAAGTTGGCTGAAGAAGGCTTTATGTCGAAACGTCCTTATCTTTTTGTCCTGTTCTCTAATTCGAGCTTCCACATACCTCGTTTTGGTATTTCATATATTTGCCTTAATTGTATAAAAGTTTGATCTTAAGCAAAGAAAGGAAAGAAAAAAAAGAAAAACTATACACACAAAATGTCTGACTAATGAGAGACTAGTGAGAAATTTCAGAATGTTATTCATGGTGCTAATTGAATTGTGTGAGGCTGACTCTGATGGAGAGAGAATATAATAAACAAGAAATTGATCGTAAACTCCCAGATGTATGTTTTTGAAATGTTGACTTTAATGGTTAGAATATCCGAATTTGTTGTCATAAACCTATTTATTTTCAGGATATAGCTGGGGCCTGAGTGTATCAGACAGGGGTGTCCTATATGTTTCTGGCTCACCAACAAATTCTGTTTATTCCTGGGATGCAGAAGTAATCGTATCAGATAACGTTAATATGAGAGAGATCACCATCAAGTTCAAGTATTATATTGACTTTAGTGAGTATCAAGTAGCATCACATACGTTATGTCTTAAAATGTTGGTTTTTATTCCTGTTGTCATCTTTAGTTCGTCCTTCGCACGCGAAGATGACCAAGGCAATTTTCGACTCGATAAGTATCCTTGACCTGATCTGTATTTTGTTTAGAATGAGGAAGAGTTGCTAACTTTGTCAGCCTCACTCTCTCGTCCTTGTCTATTCGATCCAATGGCAAGACTTAGACAAGACAACTGGATATAGACCAGGATGCAGTTGATGACAAGCGGTGCGTCTTGTGTGTCTCACTGTGCGCATGCGCTGTACTACGCAGGATTTTCAGAATGTGCTGAATCTGAAAGGAGTTGCCATCCAAGGTTAACGAGTCCCATCCACCTGGACATCTGGGATATTTGTTGCTTTTGCTGCGGATTGATTCGAGTTCACTAGCTAGGGATTCACTCAATATAGACCGCTCGGCTACTCAGAATCCCATTGCTTTTAATTTTCAATAGGGTGGGACACGGGAGAAGCCATCTTTCAGATGATAAGTTACAATAATAATACTGCGCATCAGCTTGCGTATGGAAGATATATCTTTGTGTTTGGGAGATATGTTTTTAAGGATCTATGATTGCCCCCCCCCCAATCCCACACACACACACAAATATTCTTTTATGCATACAAAAAATTCCAACACATAGAAATCCCCACAAATAATATTCTCCATGCGGAAGGTCCCCTTCTGAGATAAATCGAAAAATGGAATATTTCTCGCCTTGTGTGTGTGTGTGGGTGGGGGGGGGGGATTTTGTTGCAAGTGCATAAGGGTGTTTAAAACTCAAAAGAAATTATCTTGGGTAGCCAGACGTTAATAAATTCAATTTTGTAATATTAAAATGGGATACAGTAAGCAGTTAACATTTGGAATGTTACTAAATTTTTATATTTTAATGTTACATTTTCACCAGAAGAAAACTATAATCTTTTTCTCTCAGACTCTCTAACAATCACTCTCAATAAGTTTAGCTAAATGCCACGTTTTACTGGATTCATTATAGTAAACATTGAACAGGTTAGGGATCATGATTACAAGTCGCTGTTAATGGATATGAGGCGAGAGGCGAAGGTGGTGACCTCTGGCCGATGATTCTTGCTATGCAGCCCTCAGAAGCTGCTCCGAGGCAACCGTTTCGTGCCGGCTACTTCGCAAATTAGTTGCGTTGTGGAAACCCACTGTGGAATCCCTCTTAAAGGGCGTCTAACGCTTCCCCGGGATGGGTGGGGAAAGATTTTAGGACGTAAATGTACAATCCCAACTCCTGAGAAAGTCGATCATCCTGTGCGCTGTGTGCTAGCACAGTGTTGGACCCATCGGGTATCTTTGGGTTGGGGCGGCCCCCAGCGGAACCCGATCGAGCGGAGTCGGGTGGGTGCTCTCCTGGTAAAGAGACATCCCCAACGTGCTGCTTCGCGGCCCGTTACCGGGTTTGGGGGGGGGGTGCTTTGGGGAAGGCATAAAGAGCTTTAAGCTCGACGGCCCGCTGACGCCTTTTCTTAATGTGACATTTCCTAATGTGACTGGATTCATTGCTATTAATAATATGCAGCTCAGTTTGTTTTTTCATTTGTTCACAAGCAAGCTTACTTACGTTTTCAGATTGCGATGACAGCCTCGACTTCTGCATCACACTTAATGCTGGCTACTGCTCCGACTCTTCTGTTTGCACAAACTGCTCTAATGGCTGGTCAGGTATCAACTGCTCCACTGATGAAAATGAGTGCACGGATTTTGGTGGGAGTTGTTTGACTTATGATTTGTGTGAAAACACAGCTGGCAGCTATCGGTGTCTAGGGACAACAACATCATCATCATCAAGTCAAAGTACCACGACAACTCCACCTACCACAACAACTTCATCTACCACAACAAGTCCTACTTCTACAACAACAGGAGCGGTAAGAGCACAATCCTTCCAACTAAACAATTTTTTCATTGGAATATTAAAACGACTAATTGTAGTTGAAGTAGATGGCTCGTTTTTTTCTATAATTAGATAACTTTTTTTTCAAAGTACTGAGCTAGCTTAGGTGATTGGAGGTAAAACAAAATTTACTAGACAAATATTATTTTGGCTTTAGATGTAGAGATTCCTTGTATGAAAATATATATGTTATTAAAACTATTATTCACCAAAAAGCAGGCTAAATTTTTGAATAACTGAAAACTGATTTTTGCTTTCGAGAAATACTTACAAATTTCTTAATTTAATTTTTTTCTTGATAAAAAATGTTTAAGTTCATTAGATTGTTTATCCATATATTGAACATGAATACGTAAAATTATATCCAGACTCATTTCAATGTACAGGGTGGGCCAATAAAAGTGAGAACATCTCATAGCATATGAGTTATTTCAAAATATAATTTAATTAAGTATAATTCTTCATGGAATTTTTTTTTTTTTTTTTTTTTTTTTTTTTTTTTTGCAAAATATTCAGCTATCCAGAAATCATGTTCAATGTGTCATCCAAGTACTTAAGCTAGTATGAGTATAGTTAAACTAAATTTGATGTGATTAAATCACATTTACGAGATGTTCTCACTTTTTTTGGCCCATCCTGTATTTAACATCACTAAAAGATTCATATCTATTTAGTTAACACTCTAGCTATTAATAGTGAACGTATAAATGAAAATAATATATAGGATTTAGATTTTATGACCTGCTATTGACTCTGCCATGTAAATCTGTGAGGTGAAATCACCATACAGTCGAGTCTATAACTTGAGGGACGTTTCCCACATGATTTGGTTTTCATAGAACATACCCAGAATATACTGACAAAATACTGACAAAATATTACTAGAGGCTAAATAGTAAAAAATAGTAATGTGGTGCTGTGAGTTGTCTGCCTTTTCGTAATGTTATTGGGGCTCTGATTCTGAAAAACTCCTTCAGATTTTCGTAACAAATCTAGGCTTTTTAAAGATATGTTGGAAGTACACAGTTTTAGTCATCTCTGTGTTATGAGATCTTGCGTACAGAATATTTTCTACTTACTTTCTAACATACACTTATGGTGTATAACTTGTGAAGATCGAAGGACGAAATTGGTTTGTTTCTCTTTTATAATTATGTGCAACACTCACAGATGGTAAATGTTTATTTTCTTAGTCTACATACATTTTTAAAAAAAAATCTTCTAAAGCTTGATCTTTTGGGGAACAATGTGTTTAGAATTCATATCCATATATGAAACCTATTTCTGTGTTGATTTTAAAGTACAGATGTGTGTTATTTGATGCCAAGTATGGAGATCAACAATCGTCCCTCGTGGACTTCTAATATTGTAAACAAATAGTGCATGGATAAGTTTCTTTGGTTGACGAATAGAAGAGACTTTTCCTGAAATTTGTAGTTACGATTTTTATGGAGAGAACCAATAACCACTTCCTTGTAGCAGAAAAGTAGATTTGAAAATTAATTTGCCATCTTGTTTTATATATTAGCATTACAAAGTATCCTTATTTCTTATGTCTTTTGGGATATTAGAGCTGGGAAGCCAGACATGATATAATTAGGAAAGATAAGATTGGCCTCCGATGGAAATATTACGGGCGAAGGAAAAAATATGTTATCAATCAAGTTTTAGGAACACAAGCAAGAATCACAGTAATCAATCAACAGAAAATATTTTATCTGAAGTGAAACATATTACCATGACCTACACATGCTGCGGCAGCCAGCTATCAAGGAACACAAAAAATCTTAAGCCGAATTATCCTGGCGGATCCTAACCTCCGAACTCTTACAAAGGGAGCTTTTTGGCGGAGACTAACATGAACATGTATAATATAAATCTGTGGCTTAGGCATAAAATAAATAAATTTACATGTATGACTCATTGTGGCTAGGGTAAGTGCCGACCCCGGGAGGTTGACAATTTTGCCGTCCCTTTCCACAAATTTTTTTAGCAGTTTGGCGAAAATGTCACCCTACCCTATAAGGACCTACCGCAAGGGACGCACCACCCACCTCCTAACACTCCTTCCTACGCCACTGCACCTTACGTTTAATTATCATTGTTATATTTTACTTGAAATAACCTGTTAATGGCGGTGACAATGCGTGAACTTCCCGCCTACTAACGCCACTTGACAAAACATGCATTCAAGTAATGCACCTCACAAGAATCCCAATTAGTGCTAACTTCTGGGAATATTATTTTGCATTCCAAATGAACACAGCATTACGGCCATACATAGCTAGAGAATTATTATTTGTGATGCTTAAAAAAAGAGTACTTTCAAAATCTAAATAACTGGAGAAATAGTTCAACATCAGAGGCACCGAATTTCGTGTTGGCCGGTGTAATTATTGTGGGTTCTTTTTGCTGAAAATTTCATTTCAAATTTTTTTTTTAAAGTGATGTAAGACTTATCAATATTTGCTATTGGGTTTGTTTTTTTTTAATTGGGTCTTACGTTTATGTATTTTGATTTGTTTCGGTAACATCCATTTAAAAATTTTGAAAAACCTTTTTCTTTTTTAAGATAGTTTTTCTCAAATCATTTTATTACCACTTTAAAAATACATTTCATTACATATGGCCTTAGTTTCACCGACAATATACTTCTGGCATTACAGAGTGCGGACTTTTTTATTTTTATTTTTTCCAGCAGCCCTCATTTCGTTCCACTAAGGGCAGCATGGAGCATAGTAGATGGCAAAAAAGATCACTAAAATGGGTAACCGACAGCTATGATCCCGTCTCTGAAGATATAACGACCAAGGGGACAGTTGATGCTGAAATATCCTATGGCCCTGGTAGGACTGATATATTTGCATCCCGTGAAGAATTAACAATGTCTACAAGTTCTTTGGATTACTTTGCGATCGATGCATCTCCAACAACTTATAATACAGAAACACTTCAAACATTGGCGTATAGCAAAGAATATGATATTCCTTCTGGATTGGTTGAGACACTTTCAGGTGTGAGCTCGAGGGTTGAAACGTCAATGGATAGTACTCCAACAGCTTCAGCTTTAACATCTATCGAGCCCAGCTCAGTTTTTGTTATTGAGCCTATCTCAGGAGATGGCTCCTTTGATGATCAATTTCTAGCATTTAGTGAGCTCGATAAAGTTCAGCCTGCTACTACCGATAGCATGGATAGCATGACTAATGGAAACACAGGGACACTTCAAACATTGGGATACAGCAAAGAGTTTGATATTGCTTCTGTATTGGTTGCTGAAATATCCGATGGCCCTGGTAGTACTGATATATTTGCCTCCCGTGAAGAATTAACAATGTCTTTAAGTTTTTTGGATTACTCTGCGATTGATGCATCTCCAATAACTCATAACCCAGAAACACTACAAACATTGGCGTTTAGCAAAGAGTATGATATTCCTTCTGGATTGGTTGAAACACTTTCAGGGGTGAGATCGAGTGTTGAAAGATCAATGGAAAGCAATCCAACAACTTTGAGTTCTATCGAGCCCAACTCATTTTTTATTGAACCTATCTCAGGAAATGGTTTTTCATTTTATGACGCAGCTCCAGCAATTAGTGAGCCCGATATAGTTCAGCCCATTACTACTGATAACGCCGATGCCATGCCAATTGATATTAACACTGGTGTAACGACTGTAGCCCCTACTTTGAGCAGTGACGCTGAGGTCATACCTGAACCAACAACATTACAACCAACTGTCTACACCACAGTACTGTCCTCGTCATCACCCTTGGAGTTATCAGTTTACTCATTCCATGATGACGCTTTTACCCCTGTTGCCCTATCGTCGCAACCGATAGAAACCAGCAGTTTACTTGATCTCTCATATCCGATGACTGATGAATTATCCCGTGTATCGAAAACATCAATATTGTATAATACATTCGAATCGTCATTTAGTACAGATACGACTATTACAGAATTGAAGAGTTCTCAAGCATCGATGGTAACGAAACAGGATACCATGACAACTGCAATAAGATTAGAAAGCATGACCATTTTAACAGAAAACACTGCAACACCAAATAACGCAACAGATACAACACCATATTACACAAAACCAAATTTCAAAACAGGTACAACACCAAATTATGCAACACCAAATTACACAACAGGTACAACACCAAATTACACTGCACCAAATTTCACAACAGGTACAACACCAAATTACACAACACCAATTTTCATAACAGGTACAACACAAAATTACACAACACCAAATTACACAACACCAATTTTCATAACAGGTACAACACAAAATTACACAACACCAAATTACACAACACCAAATTACATAACAGGTACAACACCAAATTACACAACAGATACAACACCAGATTACACAACATATACAACACCAGATTACACATTAGATTCAACACCAGTTGACACATTAGATTCAACACCAGTTGACACAACAGATACAACACCAGATTACACAACAGATACAACACCAGATTACACAACAGGTACAAGACCAAATCACACAACTTCACACAGAGCCCCAACCACGACAACACCTACAACAACCCCAACTATAATACAAACTATAACACCACCTACAACATCCCATACAGCAACACCAGAGCCTACAACAACAACTTCAGCACCAACAACAACACCCACAACAACAACACCCACAACAACAACAACACCCACAACAACAACACCCACAACAACAACACCCACAACAACAACCACAACAACCACAACCACAACAACAACAACAACAACAACAACAACAACAACAACAACAACAACAACAACAACAACAACAACAACAACAACAACAACAACCACCACAACAACAACAACAACAACAACAACAACAACAACAACAACAACAACAACAACAACAACAACAACAACAACAACAACAACAACAACAACAACAACAACAACAACAACAACAACAACAACAACAACAACAACAACAACAACAACAACAACAACAACAACAACAACAACAACAACAACAACAACAACAACAACAACAACAACAACAACAACAACAACAACAACAACAACAACAACAACAACAACAACAACAACAACAACAACAACAACAACAACAACAACAACAACAACAACAACAACAACAACAACAACAACAACAACAACAACAACAACAACAACAACAACAACAACAACAACAACAACAACAACAACAACAACAACAACAACAACAACAACAACAACAACAACAACAACAACAACAACAACAACAACAACAACAACAACAACAACAACAACAACAACAACAACAACAACAACAACAACAACAACAACAACAACAACAACAACAACAACAACAACAACAACAACAACAACAACAACAACAACAACAACAACAACNCAACACCAACCGCACCCACCACAACCGCACCCACCACAACCGCCCCCACACCAACCGCACCCACAACACCCGCACCCACAACACCCGCACCCACAACAACCGCACCCACTACAACAATCACAACAACAACACCCACAACAACAGCACCTACAACACCACCCCTTTCATTAACACCTACAACGCCAATATCAAGAACAACACGAACTACAACACAAACTGTAACACCAACTACGACACCAGAAAACACAACAGAATTAACAACACTTCTTAATGCAACAAGCGCTACTTCAATTGTCACAAATAATGCACTGGATAATGCAAGTACAGCTATTTATAACACAACAGCAACGTCATCATTTTCACTTGAATCATCAACCCCAAGTGCAAATTCCGCTTTGTCAAGTTCCACACCATCAAGTTCTATCTCCGCTATGCCAGATTCTTCTCTCACCATTTCTACCACTACCATAGGTTTCAATAAAACCACCAATCCTATTTCAACAGTGGACCCTACAACGGAAAGTGAGGTTTGTCAAAATGACTTTATACAGCATATAAATATTTGCATAATGATCAATTTCAGCTATGCAAGATTCCCTCACTCTTTATATCTATTTGCTTTGCATGACCCTTATTTGTTGTTTTTTTCCTTACCTTTTAAACTGGTAAATTTAGTTTTGATTCTAAAAAATTGAAAACTACCTTTTTTTTATATACATAAAATTTTTACCAAAAAAAACAACAATTACACCACAAACTAAAACACCACCTACAAACTACAATACCACATTGTACTTTGTCATGCCTGTCATAAAATATAAATTACAGGTTCGGATTTAACTTTTGTATTTTTGTGTTTATTTCTTGTGAACAGTATCTGGAAGTAAAATTGAATCCTCCAAGTCCTTTCAGACATTATAAAATTCATGCTGTGCATAGAAAACCACCAATGTCTTTAAAAAAATGCTTGTCTCAGACTTTAGTCATTTACTTTAATCATCTGCTTGTAATTTAATGCAAAGCATTTTGCTATCAACTTCAGTGGAAATCTTGCCAAAAAAATAAAAATTCTTGCCAACTAAAAGATGTTTGAGGTAACCTATTATGATTTTAATATGCTTGGCTCTCAGTTTGCTTTGCTTTTTGCTTGATTAGTGACTACAACTTCTTAACTCAAATGACAGCCTTTGATTAGTGACTACTACTTCTTAACTCAAATGACAGCCTTTGATTGGTGACTACTACTTCTTACCTCAAATGACAGCATTTGATTGGTGACTACTACTTATAAACTCAAATGACAGCCTTTGATTATTGACTACTACTTCTTAACTCAAATGACAGCCTTTGATTGGTGACTACTACTTCTTAACTCAAATGACAGCCTTTGATTGGTGACTACTACTTCTAAACTCAAATGGCAGCCTTTGATTAGTGACTACTACTTCTTAACTCAAATGGCAGCCTTTGATTAGTGACTACTACTTCTTACCTCAAATGACAGCATTTGATTGGTGACTACTACTTCTTAACTCAAATGACAGCCTTTGATTCTTGACTACTACTTCTTAACTCAAATGACAGCATTTGATTTGTCTGAATAAATGTGCAACATCCTTAAAATATTATTACAAGTTTTTTTTTTTTATTTCATTCTTTCACATCTAATAAAGTTTTTAAAAACCTTGATGGATCTTAGTAATTTATCAGGTGTTAAACCTTTAATGACAGACTTAGTCTTTCCTGGTTGCCATCAATCTCACAAAACATTGTATCTACTAATTAAATTGTTCAGTTACTATTTTAAACCCAATGATCTCTATGTTTCAACTGACATCTTCAGAGTCGAATCGCTTTTGTCGCTAAGGCTATTTCACATAAGAGCGTAGGGATATCATTTTTTTTTTATGTCTAAGCAGCCTTGCTATGTTATTGCTAACAAGTCTGTACATATCCTTACATATATGAATGGTGAAAGTGAATCGTCTACTTAATTGGAAGTTTTAATATAATAAATAATGAACTTTTTTTTTTTAAATCAAGGTGAGAAAACTCTCATTTTATCATCTTTCTAAGATTCTAAGTGTGCTATTACTATTACAACTTTTCAGTCTATATTTTTTACCAATTTATTTCACAAACATCTTTTCAAAGGTAAATAATGCATGTTACTTCTGTGAATTAGCCATACTTATCGCGAGCCCACGCTTAAATAACTCTCTAACAAAATTGTTATGAACCAAACTTTATATTTTAGAAAAGGTTAGTTAATAAAATAGTTTAAAATATATAGGCCTAATGTAGATCTATTATAATCCGCAATAAAAGTTTGTTCTTTATTCAATGAAAAATATAAATTTCACTATAAAAGGCCTGCTTAAATAGTAGGCCTATATTATTTAGTGTAACGATAACAAGTATTTATAGACTTTATTTTTTTAAAAATTACTAAAATGATATGAATTTTAAGATACATCATTATCATTCAATTATTGAAATTTCTCTATGATGTTTCTAATTTAAGCGATGTAATTCTTCCATTAAAATGTTCCTTCTTTATTCAACAGCAGCTTAATTGTACACTCCCACCAGACAAGGATATCTATTCAAATGAAATTGTTGGATACATCATTGCAAAGATTGAGTGTAAGGACCAGGCTGATTATTCTCCATTGAATTTTTCAGTTCTTTCAGGTTTGTTTACATGTTTAGGCTGTTTTGTTGTTGTTTTGTTTGTTTTCTTGGTGGCGTTTTTTTTTATAAATAATTTAATAGCCTTGTAAACACATTCAATAATTTAAGTGCATAATTAATTCATTTTATTAATTTATTCAGTTAAAAAGAATGTTTTTTTTAATTCAAACCATAGCAACTGGCCACATGTTACATGATAACCTGACTTAGAGATTTTAATCTCAAACTTGTACAATATAAAATAGTATAGGAACCTTATCTTTTTTTAGTTATTTTTAAACCACAGCTACACAACTTAGTGGCAAAAATCCTCTAAGGGCTGACCAATGAAAGAGCAAGCCTGTATTTAACGAGAAAAAATTTAATGAAATTTGTGACACAGTATTTAGTATTACTCTGTTATTTTTTTTTAATATATTAAGGACATGCTCAACGCCAAAGCTAAAACTATCCTTTTGCTGTATTACAAGAAACAGAATTTTTTTTTTTAATATTATGGAAATTTTAAACTATAAAGCTAAACTTTTCTGGTATTACTAGGAATTATAAAGATTTTTTGTTTTTTTAAATGGATTTTAATAATTGGTTCACAGAGGGAATCAACCCTATTTTTTTAAAAACTTGTTAGTCCATGTCAGATGACTATGAAAAGTTAGTCCATGTCAGGTGACTATAAAAAGTTAGTCTATGTCAGTTGACTATGAAAAGTTAGTCCATGTCAGTTGACTATGAAAAGTTAGTCCATGTCAGTTGACTATGAAAAGTTAGTCCATGTCAGTTGACTATGAAAAGTTAGTCCATGTTAGTTGACTATGAAAAGTTAGTCCATGTCACTTGACTATAAAAAGTTAGTCCATGTCGGTTGACTATGAAAAGTTAAGGAATTAAATTCTCCTCACCATTTTAGTGTATTTAGGAGCTCAGTTTACTAGTAATGGTTATAGGTATCATTGGTGTTGGGAGATTTTTTTGTGTGGAAATGTGCCATGACAATGCGTTTGAAACCTTTTCACCTGAGCACAAAGTATGCAAATATAATAATATTATATGTTTGTGGTGATGAGTAAATGTGTGTGCCCTGTGCCGCTGTGCCTGTGCATATACACTATAATGCATAGTATGATTAAAAGCTCTTTCCCTTTCCCATAACATCAAAAGGAAAGCTGTCTAAGTCTAAGCTAATAACAAATATTGCACTAGATTATTCATAAAAAAAAGTTTTAAATAACAAACTTTCAGTTAAAAAACATATTCACAAAAAACGAGTTTAACAGTATCGGCATTGAATTACTAAACTTTACCCCGTTCTTTCTCATTTCCTTTTTTCATTTCAACAGAGCCACCGCCCATTAAGGTTAATATAGCGGGCGATGGAACAATCACACTGGCCAGCGGCATTCCAGAGACAATGAGCGAATTCGACGTCATTGTTACGGTCAACAGCATGGCGAAAAAATATTCATTAAAGTGCACTATCGGTAAGATTGTTTCTGTTTAGTTTTAACCAATTATAAAAAAAATGGGATAATGTGTCTTGTTCTATTCTGCGTGAATAAACAAAATGTTGCGTTCGAAATGAAATTGGGCAAAAATTGTATTGTGTGAATGGGAGTCGCTTAGTCACTTCCTTGTTTGGTCACGTGATGTGAGTAAGCCATCACTAGGCTGCTACACACAACAAAAGATACTTCATCAGTGCTTCCCCAATGTCATGTTACTTAAAAATTTTACCTTTCGAAATATTCTGGAATACATGCGGTTTTTAAATGAAATCCATAGATGTGACAATAAATATACGTCAGTTATGATTAAAGGAAGAAAGTTATTTCAAGAAAAATTTGTGAGCGATATTCGATGGGAACTATCAATACTATTATCGGCAGGATGTTGTTGAGCTCCGTGCGTGCTCATGACGTCATTTGCGTTTTTATTCAATATTGATGCAGGAGTCATTCCCCTTTGTTTTATTTTATTGTTAATTTTCATTGGACGAAATGTAGTGTAGTTGTAGTGTGTAACGGGCTACTGTTGTCAAGCGCTAGTGTGTTGTATACAGCCTACCGGAAATTTTACTCGTTTTTACTCATATCACGTGACAAAATAATTGACTAAGCGACTCCCATTGAGCATTCATCTTGTTGCTAACCTTAACACGCACAAAAATAGTATGTTGTATGAAACGTTAAATGAAGAGATAAATATGTGTTTTTTGGGTAATTTATAAATTTTGTTCAAACTTTCAGGAGTAATTAATTATTTATTTATTTTTCTTTATTAAATTTATTTCGACTGTATCAAAGACAACACAAAGAAATGGAGGTTAAATCTAGAGAAAAAAAAACAACTTAAGACAAAATGTCAAATGTACATTTATATAAATGGAAATAAAACAAGAAGTTATACAAAGTCCTAAAAAATAGAAAGTTAAATGAAAAAAAATTAAGAAATAAATCCAGACAAAAATGTGATTTGAACCTCAAAAATATAAATAAAATACACTTGTGTCATGCTTAAACAAAAGTTACAAAATTAAATTTTATCAAATTGATTCAAATGTATTGTTGTTTTTTTCTTAGATGGATAACAATTTTTATTATTATGGATTAAAGAGATTTAGCGTGACAAAAATGTCTTTAATACCTACAACTAAGTTACAGTGTCATGCAGAGGTGAAGCTAGGGGGGGCAGGTGGGGACAGATGTAAGCTAGTGAGGGGCCCCAAAATTTGCTTTGATATTATATTATTGGTAAAAATAATGGGTTTGAGAGTTGAAAAAAAAGAAAAGGGGGCGCTTTAAAATGGATCTTGTCCCCGGGCTCAAATCTTGTCCCCGGGCGCCAAACACCCTCGCTACGCCTCTTGTGTCATGTTCATTGATGTTGGTTTGTTTCAACTCTGTCAAACGCCCAAGAACTTTTTCTTTGTAACATTATTAGTCATAACTTCATTTCAATCAATGTCTTACATCATGCCCTTATTTTTCATCCTACAGTAAGTGTTTGTCCGCAGTCGCAAATGGAGGGCTTAACATTTGAAAGAACGAATGCAAGTGAATCGGTTTCCATTCGTTGCCCCTCCGGATATAACGGTAACAACAACAAAAAAACGCCTTTAAAAAAATATATTTAAAAATGTATTTGTTTTATTGAGTTTTAAGGTGATGAGACAGAATAACTGCAAGATTTGAAGAACTCACAAGATTTCATTCAATTTATGGGATTAAGCCAGTCCGAAAAATGGAATCACTTAAATTGTATTGCTTAATATAAATCATAATGGGAACTACTCCTTCATTACATTCCACAAATTTCTATAATTATAACCCATTCTTGTACTTACATGAAAAATATTTTAAATTTTGTATGTAAATACCTATAGTTTTAATAGCTTTATCTGGCATTTCTTTTACATCCGACACAGGCACTGTTACAAGGCGTTGTGATGGCAGGAACAAATGGGGAGATTTTAACTTGAATGACTGTGAAAGGCAGGATCTAAAGAAGGCTGTTTTGCTGGTAAGTAAAACAATAAAACCACAGTAAAAATACCCTCTGTAGATTAATTAAAGAAAATAATTTATCTTAAAACTACCTACAATCATATAATCATACCATGGGGAGGACTGCGTTCAGGTTGAAGCAATATGAAATAATAAGGGCTTTTAACCTCTTGAAGGTGTTGTTGGTTTTTTTTATGCTGATCTGGGTATTTTAAGTTTTAGGCAAACTCTGAATTAAAACCAGGAGCAAGAATGATAAATAAATTGATCGTGGGCCCTCAAATATAAAGAAAAGAAAACAAAACAGTTTAGGCTTTCTGGTCTTGGGGTTTTATCCCTTGAATGAAATGGGGTGCGTAATGTTGATTTTGTTAAGTTATGGGCCTTCCTGAAGACTATGAAAATATAGTTTTTACTTTAAAGTTTTTCAATAAAAAAGTAATTCTGTTGCATTTTTTTTCAACGCTTTAACCTCAAATTCTAATATTTATTCTTGTGTCTTTTGTTGCATAAGGACTTAATGTACAAATAATAGTATAATCATTTTTTATGAACTGGTTTGGTTAAGAACATTCGGGGGGGGGGGTCGGTCGGGAAAAGGGGGGGTGGAACAATGGGTTTTCCTCACCCTGTAAAACCAGCCCTAGTGGCACATAAGGACTTAATGTACAAATAATAGTATAATCATTTTTTATGAACTGGTTTGGTTAAGAACATTCGGGGGGGGGGGTCGGTCCGGAAAAGTGGGGGTGGCACCATGGGTTTTCCTCACCCTGTAAAACCAGCCCTAGTGGCGCCTCTGCTACGTAAATTTCCCAACAACATGTCACTCATGTGGCAAAAAAAAATTAGAAGGGATTTATTTAGCGGATGCATGAATGGAAAGGAAGGAAGTGGCAAATTGTTATATAGTCTAAGGGTTTGATAGAGAGAGAAAGAGAGAGGGGAAGTGGGAGTTAGCAGGTAAAAGTAAACATGACATTCCTGCGGTGTGGTGTTAAGATCCCCATAAGTGTGTATCAATGCAGTTTTCCAAAATCATCTTGGTAGAAGAAACAACAGATCACTACTGTGTTTTGTAGGTGTTCACTGAACCTATCATAAAGTAGCAGTTCTCTCTCTCCCACATAGCACTTAAAGTAGTGTTTTAAAACTGTTGTGCAAACAACATTCTGTCTGAAACAAGAGAACTCATCTCTTATTTGAAAAAATCCCTCAGGTCATTCAGTGGCTACGGCCACGTGACTTAGTTCCAAAATAGGAAGGAGTTGTTCATGTGTGGATATGAACAAGAAAATCAAATAAATTCTTATCGATTTCTAAACACAATGAGACAGGGTGATGAGAAAACCCAAAGAAAAATATCTACAACATTAAAATTTTGAAAGTGAAATTTGACAAATCTATCCATGCTTGAATACTTTGTCTATTATATTTAAAATTTTTAAAAATATCCAGTACCACCTATACGAAATTTTAAATCTAGAGCCTCGTAAGATTGTGAATTGAATTTTAAATTGAATGATAGTCTTTATTTGTATCTCTCTTTGTAAAATTTAGCTTATTTTTAGAATGTATGAAAATGTGTATTAGCATTTTCAAGTGTATATTTAAATATTTTGCTTCCATGCTTTTCAGTATGTCTTCTTGTCTTTGATGATTCTGCATTTAATTTTTTTTTTATTATTATTCAAAAGAAATAATCACTTTTAACTAATAAGTCGCAAATTAATTGTGTTAACAAAATTATTGTGTATCCTTAGGTCGACCGATTACAGGACAAAACAATTAGTAGAGAACAAGTAACAGAATTAGTTGATCAAGTCAGTCATGAAATGAACTCCAGCTTTCAGAACAGCACAACAATTGTGTCTGGTGATATCAAGTTAGTTGTGAACCTATTCAGTGACATGAGCAAAGTCATTAACCAAAAAAATGCTTCTGTGAGCCCTGAAATTTTGACGGTAAATTAATACTTGTACTGTAAGAAGTTTTGTGCATTAATAATAAATGTTTGTAAAATATAGAGAATTAACAGGGAGTGGGGGTATTTAATTATTTTTTTTAAAAACTACGGCATTTAACCATTGATTGTTTTTAGTCTTTACATAATTTATTAATGTGTCTGGATTCATTCCAGAAGCTGAAACAATAAAAAATAACAATTGTGTGAAGAAATTGCTTTGTAATTCATTGGCCAAGTTATTCCTTTTTCATTCCCATATTTTTCTTGTTTAATCATCCATCCGTCCCTGTGGCGCTACAGCCCACATAGGGCTTTGCCTACCTCACTACATCCTTCCACTTAGACCTGTGGCGCTACAGCCCACATAGGACTTTTGCCTACCTCACCACTGTATATCTTTTTCCACATCATCCATTCATCTTGGCTTAGGTCTGCCTTTGAGCCGTTTTTTTGTTGGTGTTCATTTAGTTAAACAAATGAGGGTCACATCATTTTCAGGTACAGCACTGTCTAAATCAGCTGCAATGTACGTTTCTTCCGTTCACTGATTAATTTATTGAAAGTTGTTGATGACCCCAGACAAAATGAAACCCACAAATACTTGATTGAAAGTAGACAGTGTCACCTTTGATTTGTGGTACCTTTGTGGATAAGGACTGCCACTGTTGAGATTTGAATGAAATAGCATGTTCATGGATATTTATGGATTTGTATATATATATATATATATATATATAATTTTTTTTGTATCTTTAGCTTACTTTGCCTTATTTGTCATAAAAATCTATGTTCCATTTGTTTTTTAAATAATAATATACATAAAAAAATGATCTCACTAGATTTCATTAAAAACTTTCCACAAATTTATTTCAGAATCTTGCCTTTGTTTGTGATAAATTGGTCTCAGCTGACTCCAGTGTTTGGTCTCAACTGGACAAAGATAACCCAGCTGCAGGAATTTTAGAATCCATGGAGACATTCACACGGGCCAGTCTTAACTCTTGGAAAGATACTAAACCAATAGAGATGAGTAATATTGGTAAGGAAAAGGGAATTCTACTCTTAAGTCTTGTATCTAGAAAAACAATGTGTTTTTCAGTGTATCTACATTGATGTAGCTATAATATTAAGTTTAGAACTGCAATCATTTTATCATTTATGTGCAGTCACAATTAACAAATAAATGTCTTATGTAAATAAATTAAATATTTGGAATGTCTGGACATTTAAACAAAAATTATCAAGTTCTCTAAAATGTGAGTGTGAAATAATTGTTTCTGTACATGCCAACCTGTATGTTAAAAAAGAATTGTACAAAAACTCCTCCCAAAACTGTACAACAGCATGAAAATATGAGCAGAGAAAAACAAAATTGAACTAAAAAAAAAAGTATAATTTATAACATTTTCATAATGTATCTATGTTTTAATGCATAAATAACATTAAGTATCTCTATCTTCGCTGCATGCATATTTTTAGCTTCTGTACATAATTCATAAATGTGCAGATTGCATTTTTCTAATGGAAATAGCATGTTTTAAGTCCGATTTTCATTTCTGTATCTTTGTATTTTTACGGTTGTCAATGGTAATCTTCCGTTAATTATGCTAACTGTTGCTTCCTTACATCCCCACAAGACAACTACGTTCTCCCATTGACAGTAGAACCCTCTCAATCCCAAGAACCAAAACTAAGACTAAGAACGCTCCTTCTGCTTCCATGGGCCCACGTTCTGGAACCAGCTCCCTTTCCATATCCGTCATTGTGAAACCTCGTCCAATTTCAAAAAGTCCCTTAAAACTCATCTGTTTAGGTCCGCCTATGACCTGTGATGCACCCTCCTTGCCCTACCTCATTTTTTATTTCGGGTTGATCCTGAAGTGTCAAAGTGTCCTCGTTTTATAGCCATTTTCATTGTCTCTATATATAGTAGTTACTATCCTAGTGTCTCATTTTTATTTTCTTAGTTTACATGATTTTAATAATTGTAAAGCGCTTAGAGCTTTATGGTAAGCGCTATATAAAAATGCCTAAATAAATAAATGTGACGTCAGTTTTGACAAATTTTCCGGGTGCAATGTTACCATCAAGATGTAACCTAATTTTTCACCATGCAGTAATGGAGATAAATGTCATGAGGATATATTATGATTTAAAAAGAAAACAAAAAAACTCAATGTGGATATACAAAGACAAAAGCAATATAATGTAAAGTAGTCTACAGCTTTCAATGATTTCTGCTAAAAAAAAATAACGTCCAAATAACGTGTAAATAATATATACTTCTATAAAGCGAAGAAGATATCACACGCTTTTGTTTTAGACAGAGTTAACGTTTAAGCCATGTTGAAGTAATAAATAGGAATATGACTAGTGCTGGTTATTGATGGTAATGTTTAAAAATATGTGATTATTAAATAGAAATAAAAAAAAAAAACACTTACTAACACTGCAGTTCTTGTAATGGATTACACAAAAGGTTTTCTAATTATGGTTTTCTATTAAAAGTAGTTACTACAGCACTATGCTTTCTTAGTCTGATTATAAACGAATGACATCAGTGAAACCGTGCTCAGTTTCTACATTGAGACGGCCAATGACATTTAAGCTCCTTGTTGTCCAACGTTGAATTTATTGCACCGCCAATTTTTAACGTGTTTCTCGTGTAAAAATATTTGTCTTCTAAATCCAGTGAAAACCTGTTCAAAAGCTTGTATGCCCATACACCTCGGCAAACATATTTATAAAAGCCGTACAAATTATGGGTAAACTGTACAGGATGGCATGTATTTCGTGTTCAAACTTGGACCGATGTTTATGTCTTTTTATAATCAACTTTCTAGTAATAAGTTGTCTGAGCAGCCCTGGAGATATACAATTTCCACAAAAAGATTTCAATGCTGGAAATTCCAGCTGGGCATTTTCCAATGAGATATTTCTGGAAAAAAGTGACATGCCAGGTATATTTTTGGTGTTTGTCTTGTTTTTAAACAGTTTTTATTGATATTAAGACTATCTAGTTTTAAATAAAAATAGACATTTGCTTGCATTCATTGGCAGTGCCACAACATTTATCTGAAAGCAGGTTCCGTCAAATAGATTTAACATGTTTTATATCCTGTCAAAGTCCAGATAAAATACAGAGCATTTAATTAAGTTAAAATCCTAAATACTTCTGCTATTCTTTATTTCCCATAGAAATAAAAATGCTTTGAAATTTTTTTTCAAATCAAATCTTAAATAAGATCATTCCTCAAATAAATATGTGTCCGAAATATATATATTTTTGATTTACTTGTGCAGGAATAGTTAAAAAGAAGCCTATAAATATTATTTTGTTCTATTTACAAAATATAGCATCTAATTCTATTGAAGATGTAACTCGAGTAATCAACAAATTAAACATTTAAATTTATTTCTTCAATAATTTAGGCAATGTTAATTTCTCTGTACTTGTATACAAAAATCTGGCACAGTATGTCAAAATCAATGCTACTCTTCAAAACATGTAAGTAATTGATAGCAATTTAATTATTTGACTATAATTTGATTATTTCATTTTTTGTTTTAAATTTGTCAAATTGCTTTGTAAAATTTTGTATACATTTTTTATAAAGTTGCACCTTCCATGGAAATTAAAACAATATAATTGACTCTTTGATTTGAGTGCTTAAAATGTAAAAAAAAAAAAAAAATACATATAAAAAAATGTAATATAAAAAACACTTAGAGTAGGCCTATTAGTCATTAGTCTTAGTAATCATTAGCTAGCCTACATTTCAAAATATAAATTATTTTGATTCATTTGCATAATATATTACTAAAATAATATTATTATACAGAAATTGCAATTAACAGATACAAAGCTTAGATAATAGATTCAAAAAATTTTTGTTTTAAATTTTTAAAATTTCTTTGTAAAATTTTGTATAAATTTTTTATAAAGTTGCACCTTCCAAGGAAAATAAAAAAATATAATTGACTCTTTGATTTGAGTGCTTAAAATGTAAAAAAAAAAAAAAATACATATAAAAAAATGTAATATAAAAAACACTTAGAGTAGGCCTATTAGTCATTAGTCTTAGTAATCATTAGCTAGCCTACATTTCAAAATATAAATTATTGTGATTCATTTGCATAATATATTACTAAAGTAATATTATTATGCAGAAATTGCAATTAACAGATACAAAGCTTAGATAATAGATTCGAAAACTAATGTATCTCATGTGCAAAAATTGCAAAGATTTTAAAATGTATTATCTAGAACTGTTTTTAAATTAAACTTTTGAATCACCTATTAAATTTAAATGGCTAAAAATTCTGCATTTTTACCATAGTAACGAAGGCTACATTTCAGTTATAGGTGTTCAGTTGTTTTTATTATTTCCACAGATATGAAGAGGATAAGGCCCTTCTCAACAAATCAATGAACTCTCAAATTGTGTCATTTTCCATGGAAAATAAAGACATCAAGAAACCTGTTCAACTCACTTTCAAATTGACACTGGTAAAGTTTTCTCATTTATTAACTACTTTACTATAACAAACATCATAAGAACAATTTTCAATCTAAAACTTAATGCTTAGACAATTTTCAATGATCTTTTTTTTCACATCATTATTTACATAGGAGAGAACACAATTTTTACTTAGCTTTGAGCCATAAATGACATCATTCATTTGTGATGTGTAACAATGGTGCATTATTTTTGTTAAAATATATCAAGATTTGAGCGGGGGGGGGGGTGAGTTTGAGTATAAAAATAGGCCAAAATAGAGTGACTCCTAGTGAAGTTATTTATAAATTACTCCTAATCAAAAAGTTTAGCATTCTAAATTAATTTTCATGAAAGGCTTTTAAACATTCAATAGCATTGTTTCTTTCTTAGCTACAAAGTTAGAGCCCATGCAGCAGAGTACTAAATAATATAAAATAATTATATAATAATAAAATAATTTAGTATCCAAAAATGACTCATTTCTTTCCATTTTATATTGATATGTTTTGTCAAAGTCCAAACATAAGTGTAATCCATCTCTATCATCTAAATTTTTAAATGAAGTTGATCAATAAAAGAAAACGTGTCTCTCTATTATCATGATTATCCTTACATTAATTTCACCAGGATAACTACTCCAACCCAAGTTGTGGTTTTCTGAAAACAGATTTAAGGTATTGATTTCACTAAAGCATTTTATTAAACTTTGTATTTGAAAAGTCTCAGTTACTGTATTCATATGTAAAAAAAAAAAACAAGTGGCATATATTGTTTCAAGCTGCCACGGTTATATCACATGTTCTTGTTTTGTGTTTTTTTTCATCTTGACTCAATATTGTTATGTATTTCATCCTAGCGAAAGCGATGACAATGTCTGGTCTACTAAAGGCTGCAGATTTTTAAGGTCCAACAAAACTCATGTTGTGTGCAGCTGTAATCACACGACAAACTTTGCTGTTTTGATGAGTGCTTTTGCATCGGTAAGGTTATGTATAAAATATTTTTGTTGTTTAATTAAACTGTGTGGGGAAAACGCAACATGTGGCTTTAGTTTCAAAAAATATATTTTGGTGCACGTTTAGTAGTGGATTTATCACCCTGTCTCACTGTTCCAAATATGAATGTCATCCATTTTCTTAATGAAACTCTTAATTGTGAAATATTTTTAACACTGTTTATGACGTAATACTTTCTAAATTTAAACAATGTAGCTATAATTCATTTATGCCAATCTTTTTTAGAGCACCTATGAAATAATACACATATTCCAGAAGTATCATGTCCTTATGAATTAATACATTTATTAAGCCTCTAGTATTTTATAAATGGAAATCTGATGACAGTTTATTTATTAAGTGTAACAAAAAAGAATTCATGGCTTATAGACTTTTTTCTTTCTTTACACAGCCTGATGACAGCCTTGCACTGAGCATTATTTCTGCTGTTGGATGTGCCATATCTCTCTTCTGTCTGGTTATGACTATCATAGTTTATAGTGTCGTTTGGAAGTGAGTTTGTCTCTCTTCTTCTCTGCAGAAATTATAATTTATGGATGAAATAAAATTTGAAATCTGTTAAAGCCCAAATTTTATTGATATTCAAAATAAAAATAATAATTTCTCATAAGAATATCTATTTAAAAGTGGTTTTTAATTGAAATGTTGCTTTACAAAAACTAATTTCAATGGGTACATTTTTGTTTGTAATTCTTAGATATGTCAAAAATGACCGTTCTGTTCTCCATGTCAATTTGAGTGTGTGCCTTATCATTGGATATGTTGTCTTCCTGGCTGGAGTAAATAGAACAGATAATGAAGTAAGTTTGCCTTTTGCTCCATTGATGCAATTACCAAAACATAAAATGAAATAAAGTACCTGAAGGAGAATAAATGGCAGAGTTACATTAGATTTTTTTTTTATTATTTATTTTAATCACGAAGGCTTTTTAATTTTCATTACTTATTGGTTTCATTATAAAGAAAAAGTGTGTTTCTTTTTAGCATGGCAAACTAGATTTGTTCATATCTTCTTATTGATAATTGCATGATTTATATTTTGTGAATTACATTTAGATTGGGTGCAAGGTTGTGGCAGCGCTTCTTCACTTTTTTTTCCTGGTTGTTTTTTTCACCATGTTGGCAGAAGGCATTGAAATCTTAAAATCTGTCTCATTTGTCTTCACATCAAAATCAATCTTGCGTTATTTACTTCTTGTAGCATATGGTGAGTAATACTATATAATGTTAAAATTTAAAGTAATTTAAATACTCCAACGGGTGATATTAATTTTAATGATGTATGGGAATTTTGAAATTTATAAAACTAGGTTGAATGAGCTTCTGTCACATTAGAACTAATTCTCCACATTGCTAACTTGTACAAAATTTATAAGCCTAATGAAATCTTTTTATATAAAATAATTTCCTTTTTCAATAATATAATTATGAATTTGAGCTACCCTCTTAATGTATTTTAAAATTTGTCAAAAACTAACTGAAGTAAAGTATGGGATTTTTGTTTAAATTACCGGTACTGTAACTATATCCCATGGCTCACACAGGTGCACCTTTAATCATTGTGGCTGTCTCCCTTGGAGTTAAGCAAACAGAAGGCTATGGGACAAAAGATTTGTAAGTCACATTTTAACAAGGCATTCAAGTAGTGATTTCTCAGCTTAATTATCCTTCTTTACCAGCTCAACTCAGTAATTAAAGGCCTGTATTCATTTGTTCAATAGGAGCCTGTCTACATATTACCTTATATTAAAAAAAATTATTATTTTTGTTTTCAGTTGTTGGTTGTCAGTAGACGATGGTCTCATTTGGGCTTTTGTTGGACCTGTTTTGTTTGTATTTCTAGTAAGTTCAAGTGATAGTCTTTACTAAAAGCTGTGTATCAACAACTCCTACTGCCATGGCACACAAAGTTATCTACCCAAATTTGGTTTTAATATTAAATTTAAATCTAAGTCTGTAAATTGCTAGCATTTTTTCAACTAAGAAGTAAGAAGGGTTCTGGCACAGAGCCGAGTTATTTAAAACTTTATTTAAATTGTAAAAGTAATTGATAGTCTTTAAACTAATTTTAAATGTTAAACATACTATAAAATAAACCCTTTGTAATTTTTAAAAATGTTAGATTAGTTTAAAGATTATCAATTACTTTTACATTTTAAATAAAAGATTCTAGTACTAATCAAACAATGAAAATTCCTATATTAAATCAATACTATACAAACTTAATTTTCATATTAAGTTTGTCCCTTGTTGAAATTACACAATGATTACAAAAGATAACTGTACTATAGTCAACATCTTGATGAGTGGCTGTGATATCTGTAGTTTATATAACTCAGTTTCTTCATCTATCTCAGGTCAACTTTATCATTCTGATCATTGTTTTGAAGACAATGCAGACATCACAAATAATGAGAGACAAATCTGCAAAAGATAGAATAAAGTAAGACACTTATATAAACATTTATTTATTTTTGAAAAATTCACAGAACATATTCATCCACCAACACTAATAACTTTTTAATGTCTCAATGTTACAATTTTTAATTTGTTAATTTCCTTTTTTTAATTCATTTGTGTTGCTGTATCTCAATTTAAGTATAGTCTAATAAAAATAACAGTGGACTTAAGTTCCCATTCAAGAATAATATAAAAATACAAATTTTAAAAATGTCAAAAATATTTTATTTTTGAAAACGAGTTAAAAAAAAGTTTTATCTGAAATTTTTATAATTATTTTTTTTTAAAGGTCAGTAGTCAGATCAATCAGTATATTATCACCTATTCTGGGACTAGCTTGGATTTTTGGTGTGCTGTCTGTTAATGAAGATACTGTTGTTTTTCAATATTTGTTTGCAATCTTCAACTCTCTCCAGGTATTTTATTTCTCAATTGTACCTCTAAAAAAATGCCATGCATTGAAATCTATTATTATTTGCTATATGAAACAGTGGCTTAAAATAAATGAGATGTCAATTTATTCTTTTGTTTATTCTTTAGTGACATAATTAAACATATTATAAAAGATATTCTAATCTATTGTTTTTTTTTAATTTCACATTTCTTTCTTTATCTAGGGCCTCTTTGTTTTTATATTCCAATGTCTACTGCAGCACCAGGTAAGGAATTTTCTATTAATTTATATAATTTTTTGTTTTTTTGTTAATACTTTCATACTGACCATGAAAGAAATTCTCAGAGTTTATATGAAACATAAATATTTATTCACAAAATAAAGGCAGGGGTCTTTTGGGGTCCTTAACATGGTAAATTTGGGTTTTCACTTTTTTTAATAATCAAATATTATATTAACTATGTTATTAGAGAAGATCACAATGACTATATTTTACATTTCAAGTAAGATTGTAAAAATTATTTATCACTATAATTTTAATCTGTTTCCAGGTGAAGGACGGTTTTAAGGCAATGAGACGGAAGCATTATGCCAAGTCTATGGATTCTGGACAAAGGGTTGTTTCAGGTTCAAGTCAAGTGAGTTTATAAATGATTATTAGTGGTTGTAATTGAAATGTTAAACTGATTCTTAGTGGCTGAACTTCCAATTACTAAACTGTTTTTAGCACTTATAATTACATTGTCAAAGATTTTCCATTTTTTAATTCCATCACTGAAGCAATATTTCAAAATTTAAATGGCCATTATAAATTTATTTTTAAATTAAATCTTAAGTTATGTTTTTAAATATCTAATACTATATAAAATATTATCATAATGCTTTTTTCTATTTTAGAGTAAAGGTGTTTCATACTCATATTCACAATCTGCATCTCAAAGCAAAAATGGTGTGTAGAGTTGCTCTTGCCTGCCACTGCCTTTTTTATGTTGTTGAACCATTATATTTCTAAATAGGATGTCAATTTCTTTTATGAATAAATCATCAAAATTTGGTAAAAATATTCTGATTGAACTTAAATTTTATGTAAAAATTTTATCAGCTTCAGAACTAAATAAAAACATTTTTTTTACGTCCAAAAAAAAAAATAAATATAGTAAAAAAATAAAAACCATCATATTTATGATTTAAAACATATATTTTCTTACAAGTTTTTAATAACTATTACAATTAAAAAATACAATATGTTGTTTAAAAGAATTATATGCTCACATTTTTCATTATTTTTATAAATACTGTAAGACAAATAAATAACCTTTATACACAGTTGTTAAAATGTAATAAAAATATGTTCATTGATCAGTGTCCTATAATTCCATTTAGTTACACAAAGCACATATGCTCAGACCTCACCCATCAAAGAGCAGCAATTCACTTTCCACCAGTACAACAATCCTGCATTTCAAGACAATACTGATGGGAAGAAGTCGGTCAAAAGTAACAAAAGTTACACTGATAACATTAGCCATAATAATTACGAAGAAGATGACAGAATTGTCCCAGTGAGCAATGACAGGGAGGATGTTTACTTTTACATGGGGAGGACTCTGTATCGAGATTCTAGAAAAGAGGTGGCGGGTGAGAGTAACATGGACAGTTTTTCCTTTCCTTCTCCAAAGCTTTTGGACAGAGGTAATTCACAAGAGCCGATAATATATGGCAGGCCAGGCATCCCTGATGAAGCAGAGGTAAATTTTAATGCTTTTTTTTTTTTTTTCATTTTTTCCTGAACTTACTGCTACTTTATTTCACTTTTTTTTGATGGAAGCAGTTTTTTGTCTTTTAGGACAGGTGAATTTATTTTAAGGGTGTTGAAATTCATATTTTGGGTATTGTTGAATTTGTATAATTCACAAGAGCCGATAATATATGGCAGGCCAGGCATCCCTGATGAAGCAGAGGTAAATTTTAATGCTTTTTTTTTTTTTTTTTCATTTTTTCCTGAACTTACTGCTACTTTATTTCACTTTATGTTGATGGAAGCAGTTTTTGGTCTTGTAGGACAGGTGAATTTACTTTAAGGGAGTTGAAATTCACATTTTGGGTATTGTTGAAGTTGTCAAAAGTCATCATCAATATCATTAATCAACATTACTAGACTCATGAATTTTTAAAGATATTTTTATGAGACTCTCTTCAGCACTCATCTCAGTGTTCAGTAAACTCAGCCAAGGAACTCCATGTTCATTAAATTTATATCTGACTCTTAGTAGATCCTTATAAAATTTAATTTTAAAAATCAAATGGAAAATGCAAATGAAAATGACTTAATTGTTAACAGACTCCAGGGGTAACTATTTACAGATGTATCATTAATTTTTTTTTTTTTAAAGGATGAGCACTCTGAGCAAAAAAGTTTGGGTTTAAATATCATAGACAAATGGAGGGCTGTCTCCAGGCGACGAAGTAGTGGACGAGATGAAAACCCAGAAGTGAGTTTTTATCAGTTTTGACTTGATTTGTTCATCTTTGAAACAACAGTTGTACATTGTTTTTGCCATTTTGATTTGTTCATCTTTGAAACAACAGTTGTACATTGTTTTTGCCATACCATTTGTTTTTATTAATTGACAGATTGAAAAAGAGAGACTAAGGCATGTGTATGGCGATGTTGGAACAATAAACTCTCGGGAGTATAGAGATGTAAGTACTGATCATGTCATTATTAATTCAATGTCTTACCAAGAGTATATACAAATATTCCTATTAACATTTAGTTTTTTTTTCTTTCCAACATTTCCTTTTCTCATAGGCCTACTTATAGTTTAGTTTACTTTCATCAAATTATATACATTTGTTGCATGAAAACTACACTTAATAATGGAATTTTTAGGGGATAACTTAATTATTTTACAGAATATGATACACATAGTTTTATAATTAAACTTAGATTGATTTGCTTGCTCCTAAAACTAAGTTTTCATTTGAATAAGTCCTCAAAATTTTCAGTAATGTGTGCCATCATTGTACCTGTTTTCCATAACAAAATATAAAACTTTAAACTTTTATAAGTTTGAGTGTTATTTATTATTTTTATACACAGGATGGACATCCCAGTCAAATAAGAGCTAGAGAGCACTGGAGGAAAGTGCAGGACTTTGCAAAATCTCCAGTGCAAAATTATCCAGCCGAAACTTTGCAGACAAGGAATGAGAATCTCCCCTCTTCGCCATTCCATGGCCCGGTGAATGGCTATCGGCAAGCTGGGAATGTCAAGTCACGTCCCAACTTGACACCTCTCATCATACCCAGGCCAAGCAGGATCAGCAAGCCAGCAGCACAAAACTATCATTCCAAAATTTAAACCATTGCCAACCCAGTTGTTAACTTTCATCACAAGTCTGTTGAACAATTGACAAAGTCATTCCATTTTGAGGTGGCACTGACAGCAACAAAGAAAATACAAGTAGCATGTGAATAAAAAGAGTAAACTCAGTGTGTTTTAATTGGTCAGCCCACTCTTCTGGGGCATTTCAGTATTAATGGCATCAGGCATCCTCCAGCAAGGGTTGTTTAAGCTCTGAGATTTTTTAATGCTGGCACTTAATCTGTGAATGCATCAATTTTATCGTGTAAACATAATATTTCCTTAAAGTAAGGAAACTGAAATGTCTTGTAAAGTGACAAAGTCAATCTTTGCTGATTGGCTAATACTTTTATGTAAATATTTTTATGAAAATTTTATATTTTGTAAATTCACCATGTGCCATATCGTTTCAGTGGTAAATTCTGATTTGGATAAATGAGAAAACAACGTTCTAAATTATTTATTATTTTTCCTGACTTTTTTGTTGTCTTGGTAAATTTTATTTTCCTTGAGATCAACTAATGTTGACTGTGCAGTACACAAAGCACATAATGTAAGCTGCTTCAAAACATTAACAGACAAGTAATGGCTGTTCATTAAATTATTGTTCATCTTCTGGGAACATAATTTTTTAAGCATTTAATTTACTATTTTTTTAAATTCAGTAAATCAAAATGCTTTTGCTTTTTATTTGTCTATCAAACAGGTGTGAACCATTTTTTATTACATTTATGGCCATTTCACATTTAGTTAAAATTGTCTCCTGTAAATAAAGTAAGCGGGTTTCAAGGTCTAAGTTTGTTATTTTAGCCCATGTTCTAACAACAGAACAAAAATTTAGAGTAGGCCTAAGGGGTTTGTTTTGACAGAATCAACTATATTCAGTTTTAGGACCACTCAAGTACTTAAGTAACAAAACTGGCTGAAAAGGAGAAAATAATCTCTTTAAATTGATTCCTAAGAATGATATGAATCAAATAAAATTTGACATTAAATTGCATGATTGCTATACTGGAACATACTATTGCGTTTATCTCAGTATTTAAAGATCAAAGCAGGGTACATATATTTTTCAGCAGTTTTAAATTATGTAAGTTAATGTTGAAGTGAGCTCCAACAAAAGGCTGATAACATCTTATCCTTACAAGATAAGATATTAATAAAATTGAAAATGGAAATATATAAAATGTCTTTTTATAAGATTAATATAATATTTATTTTAATTTTAAAAAATGACGTTTTAAAATCTACTTTGACAAAATAAATTTTCAAATTATTATGAAATTTAGTCATTGATTGTAAACACATTTTTAAAATCCTTCAAAGATTTTTTTTTTTTTTCAAAGAGAAAAAAGGTTAGTCTAATAGTCTAATTGTTGTAAATCAGAGGTGCTTTTTATTTTTCAATAATGGACTAATTTTACTGTTTTTAAAAAATACTTACAGAAATTTTCACTCATTTTAATTAGTGTCTCCATTTTACAGTATAATTTTAATCCATTTATAAAACACATAGAGGAAAATAGCAAATTGATATTGTTCACCACAGTTTGACACAAAAATTTGTTGTTTTTCTAAATATTTTAAATTAATAAAAAGTATTTGAATTTTTACAATGGTAAAGAATTGAGTAAAATCAAGTTTGATCATTTATATTTTGGATTCTCATATGCTTTTCTGGGCTCTTGAGTTAAAAATTGTGTAATCTTAGTATTTCTTTTGAAACTTATGTAAAATACTTTTGGTTGTTGGATTTTCGATATCCCATAAAATAATTATTGAATAATAGGTAAAAGAATGCATTTTATTTTATTTACATTTGACTTATGAATGTTTGTAACAGTCTTTGACATTTTGTCATTTTGCTTTCTTAAAGTTCACTCCCCTCCATGCATAATTTGTTCACAGAAAAACCAAGGGACAGTTCTTCATTTTCATAAAAAATTATTATAAAAAAGTTCAGCTGAAAAAATCTTGTTAAATAATGTTGCATAGATTGGAAATTTTGTATAGAGCAATATTTTTCAAATAAATTGTGAAGAAAATTTTGTTTAAAAACTTTATCAAGTGCCTTAATTATTCTTAATCCATTACCCAATTCTAACTCTGCCCATACCGCTTTCATAATAATGTTTAACTATTTGATTCGATAAATGATCCAACTATTTTATCATGATTATGTTATTATTTTGTCAGAATCTCATTTGTTTCTTGTTATTTGCTGTAACAGTAAAGAAAGCCATCATTTTAAAAATTAAAATGACTTTACTTTTACACACATGTTACTAACTAATTTTTTTTTTTTTGTGCTAAATGCAACATATTTAGTATTATTTACCCACTGGTAGTTGAAGGGTTAAAAAAGAGACAGTTATATTGGATTATTTTTTTATATCAAGGTAATTTTCATCTATACACCATTCATTGTTTCAATTCTAAAAGTACTACTTTAGTATTCTAAGAATGTGTTTTTAATTGTTTTCCATAAATATGTAGATTCATTTTATTTGTTTTTATCTTGCCATAATGTGATATAATGATAATGCAATATTTATTTGAGAATTCCACTCATTCAAGTTGTATGAATATTTGCTGAAAACTGCTTGCATTTTAACTAAAATAATACAAAATGTACATTTTAATCTAAGGGAACCCCTTGGCATTGCTTTAAAACATATTCTAGGTTGTGAATTAAAGAAAATAAATTTAAAATATGTTCAATTCATATGGTCTCCATATTTCTATTTTAAACCTATGTATATTATTACGTATCTACATCTACTGATGAACACACCCTGACAGTGAACATGTGAACATATCTTGGCCGTTTTAATGAACAGGTCCTGATGGTACCAAAGACCAGGTCTTGATGATACTAAAGAACAGGTCTTGATGGTACTAAAGAACAGGTCCTGATGGTACTAAAGAATAGGTCCTGATGGTACTAAAGAACAGGTCCTGTTGGCACTAAAGGACAGGTCGTGACAGTGCTAATGATCAGGTCTTTGTCAGCTACCTGACATCAGTTCCATAGAGATGTCAATGGATACTTTGAGATTATTGGAGTAATAACAATAACCAGTGTGATAATATCATTTTAAATGTTTGTGGTTAAAAAGCCAATTGCAATTTAATAAATCATTTTGTGTTTATTATTTAATGCATACCACAATTCATTATAAATAGATGTACTGGTACACGTTTATTTTGAATCAGAGTTTACAACTCCTTTAAATCTAAATAGTTTATCAGAAAGTGAAAAGCAAAGATATAAAAAAAAACTGTTATTGAAATTGTTCTACATTTTGTCCAACAATTGATTAATTAAACCTAAAGTCACATTAAAATTTAATCAAACATTTTTTTATTTATTATGTACTCGAGACAAACATCAAGGATGTCACCGTACCCGCAGGATGTTACTGTAGCCACTGGTTATTACTTTAAGTACAGAATGTTACGTTACCTACTGGGTGCTACTGGTGTTGTGAATTTCAAAGCTTAATTCTCCAAGTTATGTAAGCATTATGTGCCTACGTCATTATAACCAACACCGTGTGCCTACGTCATAATCAACACCATGTGTCTACGTCATTATTATCAACACCATGTGCCTACGTCATTATAATCAACACTATTTGCTTACGTCGTGTTAAACAAACAGGTGAAGTGCTGATTTTAAACCTATGTTGGACACAAAGATAAGGTTGGGAAAGGGCCATCACTCTTCCATTCGTGGTTGGTGGTTGGTATAAATAATGGAGAGTTCATGCCCCCAGCTTTCTCAAAGCTGATTTATAACAGAAAAATAAAATAAAATTCATTCAATGTTGGTTCTCACTAATGTTCGAGGTCTAAATATAGAAACTCTTCTGCCAAAATGAAAAAGTATGACTCAAGCTCCATGCGTTCAATCAACTACAGGTTACAGATTACAGATTAATGCACTGGGAACAAGGAACTACATAATTACGCGGTCGTCGTGGTCAGGACTTTATTAGATCTGATTCAGTATACCTCCCTCTCTCTCTCTCTTTCTCTCTCTCGCTCACTCATTCCCTCTCTCTTTATTTCGTTCTCTCTCTCTCTCTTTCCTTCTCTCTATCTCTTTCTTTTTTTTCTCTCTGTCTCTTCGTCTTACTATTATATATATATAGGCCTATATATTATATATATATATATATATATATATATATTTATATATATATACATATATAAATTTAGATGTACGCCCACCTCCTATAAACACTGTAAAAAATTTCAATGTATTCCTAAAATGGATTTAAATATTTATGTCCTTTAAAACTTTTATTTGCTCTTTATGCTATTAATTTCGCTTCACACATACCCGACGTAGTCAAACAAAGAGTCGAGTTCATTGCTGGTGAAACCGTGATAACCAGCCAGCAATCCCATCAACATAAGAAGCAAACAAGTGTTTGGTCAGGCCAACAGGCCCGACACTCAATTAGCGACTTGGGCAAGGGGGGCAATCAATGCTTAGAACGCTATGCTGCAGCAGTCCTCCTTATATTACGCTAGATGGCGCAGTCCTCCCCGTATTACGCTAGATGGCGCAGTCCTCCCTGTATTACGCTAGATGGCGCAGTCCTCCCTGTATTACGATGGATGGGAAGAGTCCAGTTGTTTTGACTTGATATTACGCAGGCTTCCTATTATTAAGTGGCGGTCAATGCAGCTGGTTCAAGATCTTCTGTTGGGAGCTCCACCCCCCCCCCCCCCCAAAAAAAAAAAAAAAAAAAAAAAAAAAAAACTAACTTAAGTCTAAAAAATGTTTCAAACGTTTTGAATTCCTTTCACTCAAAGTAGCACACTTGAATTATTTTTAACATCCCCAAGGATGTGCTGCGACTCTCATAGTATAGTAGGCCTGCTTTTACATATTTAAAAAAAAAATATTTGTCACATCCCTGGGGCATTACTGCGACTCTCATAGTATAGTAGGCCTACTTTTACATATTAAAAAAAATATTCGTCCCATCCCTAGGGGCGTGCTGCGGCTTTTAGGGTAGGACTACGGCTGACGTCCACCTTTTTGACTAGTTCATTACGAAATGTTTCATTCTGTGTCCTCCTTCATCACCCCCCTCCTCGGTCCCATTGACTGCGTGAAGTTCAAATTCGTACTTTCTATACGCTACCGTTAAGGGCCTATTGTATGAGCGCAACCGCCCGCCCAGCTTTCCGAGGAAAATGTTCACTCAGCAAACGGGAGCGCTTGATTATGTTCATACTTTATGTTCCATTATAATATGTGCCATCATGTCTCTCATTCAGGTCTCGATCCAACACAGTCAATTTCTTTTGCTTTTTTCTGTAGTTATCTTTTTTCTTTTTTGACTAATTCGTCCTTATTCCTGTAGCTATTTTTATTTTCATCAATTTTTTTTTATATTTGAAACGAACTTCTAACTCTAAGTTTTAATACCATTTGGTGAGACATCTTAAGTCGGGGCGTTCTTACGCTTGTAAATTTGGACAAGTTTGGTCGATGTGTGTAGTTAGCTGTCAGAGTTCAACAACAAAATGCAGCAGTGCAGTTTCAACGGCCTTGGGTATATAAGCTCGTATACCTACAGTTTTATTTCAAAATTATTTACATTTTAAAATCAGCATGCTTCATGTATGTAATAGATGCACGGAACTGTATTTCAACTATTTAAATAATAACTTCTCTACTCTCTGTCTATTGGGAAAATTTAATTGTAAGTTCAACTATTCAAATATTAACGTCGCTACTAGGCAAATGTTATTGGTAGGTCAGATATTCAAATAGTAACGTCTCTACTAGCCTAAATGGTATTGGTAGGTCAGATATTCAAATATTAACGTCTCTACTAGGCAAATGTTATTGGTAGGTCAGATATTCAAATATTAACGTCTCTACTAGGCAAATGTTATTGGTAGGTCAGATATTCAAATATTAACGTCTCTACTAGGCAAATGTTATTGGTAGGTCAGATATTCAAATTATATTAACGTCTCTACTAGGCAAATGTTATTGGTAGGTTAGATATTCAAATATTAACTTCTCTACTCCGTATCAGCTAGGCTAATTCACGACACACAAATTTGTTTTCTTCGCAGTTCCTTCACGGGCATGGGCGCCCGCAGGTAGGGGCAATGGGGGGGGGGGGGGGCCCCCCCCCCCCCCC